CGTTGAGGGAGACGGCGGCCTTGACGGCGGCGATGAAGAGGTCTTCGGGGACGCGGGGCATGGAGGCGACGTCGGCGGAGTGCTGGAGGCGTTTCGCGTTCTTGTCGGCGCGGAAGATGTTGATTTGCTTGTCACCCGGGGCGCGGAAGGCCTTGAGGCCTTCGTAGGCTTGTTGGCCGTAGTTGAGGGCGGGCGCCATGCCGTGGATGCGCATGAAGGGGTCGGCGACGAACTTGAGGGGCGTCCATTTTCCGGTCGTGACGGAGTAGGTGGACTCGATGTGGCCGTTGACTGTAGTTGACGACGTTAGTTTGTGGTTGCTTAACGAAGACGAGCATTGCAAGAGAGGTGGGGTTGAAGGAGGGGCAGTGTTGGGAGGAAGCTCTCACCTTCGCGGATCTTGAAGCCGACGTTGGACCAGTCAATGGTGTTGACCGGAGGGGGCGGGAAGGCAGCCATTGTGAGTGTCGTGTGTGGTTGAAACGAGGATCGTGGGTTCGCGCAACGTTGATTCTGTTTGTGTTCGGGGCTCGCGGAGGGGTGGATGGCGGGGTGACTCTTAAGTCAATTGGATTTGACAATTCGATGTGGTTCGATGCTGACGAAAACTGATATCCACTATGGATCTCACGTAATAGCCTCCGTAAAGCTGGTTTCAATACAATTCAATGGAAGATTGATCGTGGAGTGGGAAATTGGGTCAGGAGTCATAATTTCGTGATTTGCTTGGGCAGAGTTCAAACTTTTGGAGGGGCGCCGATCTCGGGACTGCGGGGTGACCGCATCCGCCGTGCGTCTGCCCCTTTTGGTGTGCCGTGATTGGCTCATTGCTTACTGAGATGGCGGGGCGCCCCCTGGCGTAGCCTCCGTCTGCCGGAGGGCCGCATCTGCCAGACGCGAGGGGCCGACAGGATGGTGGTAGCAAATATTTGACAGCTCGATGGTAGGTAGACTATTCGTGATTAAGTAGGATCCATTGACTTGATGTGATGTCATTCTTGTAGTCTCGCACACGCGACAGCTGCAGGATGGACGGTCGAGGGCACGTGTAGATCAGATGAACTCTGCCGGCGTTGAGGGGAATGTCTTGGGGTTTCTGTTTTGGTGTCCAAGTATAGTGCATGCATGTTGTATCGAGTCTATATAAGGCTGCTTGAACTGTACGCAAAGTACTGTCTATCCATTGAATAGACAATGGTTCAACATACAGGTCTTCACATAAGGCATACCAGGGAAGGCACATCGATCATAACGGCCCGGTTGATGGCTTCCACGTGGGCCTCTCACTATGGGTCTTGTAGGTTCCCAAGATGGATAGTCACGTTCTCATGGGGAGCAAAATCGAAGAGGCGGATATAACCAACCACATCTTCTTGTTTTTGAGGAGAAGTCTGTAGGTTCTCTAGGTTCTAGAAGGCAATGTTCATGTTAAGCAAGACCGAACGGAGTTTCCGTTTCAAAGTTGAGTATGTGCTGCTCAGGGTAACACAACACCATAGAAGAATGCAGAGTTGAAGAGATGAACATTCAATCAGTTAGGATAGACCTCGTGATCGGCTCTATACGGCGAGGACCACGAACTTGGGTTGGAGAAGGAGGAGAAAGTCAAAGAGGAGTCTTATCAGCGGTGGGTCTTCCCCACGACCGGGATGTGTCACCCGGGCCGCCTGTTTATCAATTACCCTGCAAAGCAAATGTGCGGGGACATTCCAGTCTCTGCCATCTCCCATCTGCCACCCATTCATCCATGGTTCAAACCCATGCGAGCCCATATCATGCCGATAAGACGGGGGGCTGAATCCTTAACCACTTATCGCCTCAGCATTAACGAGCTATCTTCAAGTCCGAGTCCAACCCGAAGACCCCGGATTACAGACAGAGCATAGACTAGGCTGGGTCAACTACCATAGCGACTGAAATTCCCCTAATGGAACATGCCTCCCGATAGTAGCCTCATACATCTTGACGACTCATACATCTCTACGTACGGGAACAATACATTTCATTGACGCGTCTTGGATCATCCTTCACTGCGGAGCCCGTCCCCTCCCCTCCGGGAACCCACCCTATCGCAGCAACGCCAGCCTCTACCCTCTGGGGCTTCTTGACGTCTCCCTTGTGGTGATGGACGATGCTCGATATGCCAAACGAGCACGCCAGGCCTGCGAGCCATGTCGGTACGGAGGATCCGTAGTTCTTGCTATTCATAAGACTCTGACAACAATGATAGTCGCAAGAAGTCAAAGTGCCCAGGCGAGCGTCCTACATGCTCATATTGTGAGCGACTGGGACAACAATGCGTTTACAATGCGCCTGGCGGCGAGGTGCCAGACTCGCAACTCACAAAGCACAACAGAGAGATGGTTCGTTTTCCAGTCTAGGTTTGACTTGAGTATGCGACGGTGCTAATTCGAGGCCCGCGTCGTTAGGAAACCCGACTCAATAGTCTAGAGGATAAGATGGACCGCTTGATCCAGCATCTGAGGTTCGCCAACGTTGTTCAGGCAGCACAGTAGCAAAAGCAACTCACGTTTCTAACTTGAAGTAGTCCTGTGTCACATCATACCCAACCATCCGTCGCGTCTCGCCATGTGCTCTCACCAAGACTCAGCGTATCTGCAGAGGAAGTAGGCCCAAAACCAGACTCAGCTCCGCCAGCATGGAGTCCTACGTATGTAAACGTCAATCATGCAATCGATTCCATTCTCATCCCAAACATCTGCTTATACTCGACAACCTAGAAGCCCATCAAGTGCCGCCGAGGCGCAGTTGATGGACACAGGGCGTCGCTACCTCTTATGGTTCCACGCCCAGCCCATCACCCTATTCGCCGAGGAGACCTTTCTGCATTCTCTCGCCTCGCGAGATCCAGAGCTGATCCTATCGCTCCAAGCCCTGGTTCTACGATGTCCGCCAGGGTCCCTCACGAGCCAGATCAAACAGCAGGTGGACGACCTCGCAAGATCGGCCCGCCGCATGGTCATGGAGCGAGTCACGGAAGGGCGCGTCGAGCTGTCGACGTTGCAGTCACTATGTCTCTTGAGCATGTTTGATTTCGCCAGTAAGCGTTCCGAAAAGAAGTCATTCCTTCATCATCATCATCATCACCTAGCTGACATGCCCTCGTAGCTGGTAACATTATGCAGTCCGGGCTCAGCATCACCACGGCGAGCCACCTCGCACACAGCATCCCACCAACAAACAACCCCAACAACGCTCAAGAAAGGAACTACTGCCTCAGGACAATCATCGTCCTCCAGCATCTCCAGGGCTGCATAATGCCCGCCCCGCGACTCATGGGCGCCCTCCCGGGCCCCTCCTCCACCAACAGCGGCTCTCACGTCCTCGGTCTCACAGCATACTGCGGCATCCCAGAGTACAACCTCGACGACAACCCAGACAAGAACATCTCCACCGTCGCCTCCGACTTCTGCGTCGTCTGGAGAATGGTTCGTGTCTACGCATCCTCCAAAGTCAGCCCCGACGCACCACCGCCCTGGGACTCTCGCTCCGATTACTCCATGGTGCTGCAGAGCCACCACGACATTGACTGCCGAGCGCCACAGAGGTTCCGCTTCGCAACGAACCGTATCGATCAGCAGAGTCCTGAGTCTCTACAGGCGCAGCGGCAGTATTGGATTCCATTCCTCTTCAGCCAGTTCGTCCACGAGACTATCCCGTGTCTCCTGAACCACCCTTTCCTGCTGTCCATGCGCCTGCGGCATTTCCGACACACCATACCCGTACATTTCATCCAGCAGTCTTTTGAGAGTATGAATCGGACTGCCGGCTGGATCATCTTCTTCTTGGACGTGATTGAGAAGAAGTCGCTGCCGGTCATGGACCCGGTCATGGCGCACTGCGTCGTCATCGTGGCGACGATTCATCTACAGCATAGTTTCGTCCATGATCAGGTACTCAGGAGCAGAGCAAAGTCAGGCTTCGAAAAGTGTATGAACTTTTTACGAAAAACAGGAGCCGTCTGGCCAAGCGTCGCCAACATGGTGCGTCACCCTTTGCCCCTGTCCAAGTTACACTCTCAACTCCCCATAGACGGAACTTACCATTTCCTAGGCAGGCAATCTCCGACGCCTTCAAGACAGCGTCGTAATGAAGTCGCCTCCCGATCGCGGCGACAACACCTCCCAAAACCGCTCATTCTCCATCAACACCCAACTCCTCTGGGACCTCCTCATCTACGACCGCGCCTGTCGCCCCGACGCAGGCTGGGACCAGTCCATGTTCGGCGCCACCCTCCGCTCCGACGCCCGCGAGCTCTCCACCGAGACGGGCGCCGCTGAATTTGACCTCGTCGGCTCAGCCGGCATCTCGGGTCACAAGGCTGTGCCCAACGACGTGGGCGTGTACGCTCCCAATGACGACATTGCGCCTGTGTCGATTGCGGAACAGGCCCCAACATCGTCGCACTTGGTCGGGCAGGGGTTAGGTGATATGGGGCCGTCGTTTGAGGATATCTTTTTCGAGGGCGTAGGACCGTTTGGGGATCAGTCGAATCGTTTTATTGAGGCGAATGATTATGGAAGAGCGATTGATGATTGGTTGAATCTTGAGAATTAGCACATTATCATGACAAAAAGCTGTACAGCAAGAACGACTCTATTTCCATTCACAGTCCATCACAATGTCTTCGTGCCCGTTAGATGATCTCTTAGTGTGATCCTTGGTTGCTCCCAGTTCCAGCCGAAATATCCATATCGGCCTCAACATCGTTCTTGTGGCGATTCCAGAATGTCTTCATCTCCTGATGATTGGCCCAAGCATTATCACCAAAGGCTTGGGAACGAAACCGGTCTGGATGTAAGATCACCTTACAGGCAGCACAATTCGAAGTGATCATTCTGATCAACACGCCAGAGAAGTCGCTAATCAATTTGTCTCCTTGCGCACCCAAAATCAAGGCTTCATCCAAACTCGCGAAGTGCTCAACAACAAACGAAACGCTAGTCTACAATATGACGTCCACTGCTCTCCGTCGATGCTCACCAAGCCAACCCCTCAATCTGCCCCTGCCCAGCCCCACAATCAAGACTCCGACAAAACGACACATCCTCCCCCGTCTTGTCAGAGACATCATGCTTGGGCGTCGCTGGCCAAATCTCGCCGCCCTCCTTATCTTCTTGCTCCTTGTGCCGCATCACAAGGTTCCGCGTAATCTCTTGGAAGAAGAGCGGTCCCTTCTCTACGCGCGGGTGGAGCTCCCCGTTCATGAAAACGCCCGCGTTCAAATTCTTTTGCGCGCCGTTGCAGAGGTCTTTGTCTTCGCGTAGAACCTGCTTGAAGAAGTCCGAGATGTAGTTGAAGGCTTCGTCGGTGGCTCTGTTGTGGCGGTAGACTTCGTATTCCATCTTGGATTGGGTTGATGAGACCGGGACGCAGCGTTGGATGTACATGAAGTCTGGACTATGTAGACAAAATTGTTAGCCAGCATTCTTATGTGCTTTGAAAGCTTGTGAGTCGAGGGGGAGGGATTCTTACGTGACAGTCATGGATGCGTTAGGGTAGAGGTAGCAGCTGTGAATGCCCAGACCAGGAACGGTCTCCTTGTCGACGTTCCAGTGCTGAATCCAGTTTCCTTGCGTTTCGACCCAGTACCTTGTCAGGTCAGTGGTAGCAGCCACTGCAGGGTGACCAGTCTGGCAATGATAGCACTACGTTTTGATATCACAGTCAGCCTCAAGATCCAGAGAACACCCAAGCTCTCACAACCTAAGGATAAAATTTGCAAACGTACCTCATTGTAGTTATCGGCAAGCGTCTTCCAGTTGTAATCACCCAGCATGTCCCACGTGTGATCAAAGTGGTAGTCATCCAAATTAAACCCCTCCAACCGCGGCTGCGTATCCACCTCGGCGAAGAACTCCTCCCACGGTACCGACGGCTTCTCCGCGCCATCCAGATTCACCCAGATGAAGCCGAGCTGATCTACATGTACATGGACCTTGAACAGACTGTTCTTGCTTTTATCGAACGAGGGCAGCTCTTGGTACTTGGGCGCCTTGGCCAGCTTGCCGTCGAACCCATACGACCATGCTAATATACCAGGGTAAGCATTGCACATTCTGACCGATAGAATCTTGCTGAATAAAGTAACTTACCGTGATAGTTGCAAGCAAGCACACTCATATGTCCGCTGTCCTTCTCCACCAGGGGGTACGCGCGGTGCCGGCAAATGTTGTGGTGGCCCCTGATCTCGCCCTTGCGGTCCTTGACGAGAAAGAAGTTGAATCCCGCCTGGGTAATCTGCACAAAGTCACCCGCCTCGACGAAGCGCGCCTTGTGAGAGACGAGCATCCACCGTTTAGAGAAAATGGCTCGCCTCTCTAGCTCGTACATGGCTGGAGAGCGGTACCATATCGCGGGCAGAGCACGGACGGCCTTTGGCTCGTCGGGTTCCGTTGCAGCGGAAGGTTTGCTGAGGCCGAACCAGCTCATGTTTCCAAAGATACGCTGGGATACAAGATAGAGAGATTTTGGTATAAGTCTAGTTCAAAAGACTTTGTTAAATAAGCTCCAAAGTATGACAGGCAGTTGGACTGACAAAATGCGAAAAGAAATCTCGTCTTCAGCTCACGATTATACTAGCTTGCGGAAGATGTTGCAATATTCACTATTTGTAACAGTATACACAATCCCTGTTCATGATAACGACTCCGCAGTCCGGAGTCTACTCCATCGCTGTGAGGTATGCAATGGGGATCATCCCTTCGAACGTCGGAGTACGGAGCCGAGAAAGTGGGGACGGACCGGGCCTCCGGATCCATCTAATCGGGTGGATTACCCCGATCCAGGAGATAAACGTCCTTGTCCACCTCCGTGGCGTCCCTATCTTGAGCCATTGAGAAACTCTACGCCTATCGGTTTGTTATGATTGTCTCACATTCGATCTGCTCAGAGGATATGGAGGTTTGATGTTGCAATGGGAACGACGCCCGTACAGTTTGTTCTTATCTGCACTCCGCGCATCACACGGGCCGGTTCCGATCACTCTAATCACGCGCAGCCATCTCTGGCGCTGCTTGTCCGCATCATGCAATGACAGTCTCTGGACTTATCAAAATACCTTACCTGCATTAAACTTTGACTTGTGACACTACATCATTGGCATATCAAACTTATCTCTACACTTTCTGATCTTGATTCTAAGACTCTCACAATCTGGCACCTGCAATATCAATCCCCCTTGCAAACTTGATCAAAATCCATTGTGACACCTAGCAGAGGCTCATGACCTTACAATGACGGCGAATGGTAAAGTAGAACCGAATGCCAACGGCAGCACACATCACACCGTCAATGGTGTCAATGGCCGTCTGAATGGCAGTTATTCGGCGGCAGAGGCACCACACAGCACAAATGAGACCTCATCACATGTCCATATCAACGGCACCTCCAACCGTGTCAACGGTAGCTACGTTGATCAATTTGACAATGACACCCCCAAAAAGGATCGCCAGCGGCTTCGTGTAACCATCATAGGTGCTGGGTGAGTAGACAGACCCATGGAATATGAGAGAGAATCTTGGCTTATGGAACTGTGACAGAGTATCCGGGATCTCGATGGGTGAGTCTCGATGATTCTCACTGGCTACTGTCGATCCCGTGACTGACCGCTCTAAACCACAGCCTACAAACTTCAAAAGCATCTCAAAGACTATGTCGAGATACATATCCTTGAAAAGTCACCAGAACTTGGCGGGACTTGGTTCGAGAACAGATACCCAGGTTGGTACCCCCTTGATATGACCTGCAAAGCTGACTTCGCTCACTTTCCATAGGCTGCGCATGCGATGTTCCAAGTCACTGCTATCAGTTCAGCTTCGCGCCAAATCCCGACTGGTCACGGTTGTAAGCATGGCATGTCTTCGAGCAAGCAGCATCCGGTAAACTGATTTTATCACGCAGCTATGCTTCATCTCAGGAGATTCAGGCTTATCTTGACGGTGTAGCACGCCATTTCGATCTGCGCAAGTTCATCAAATTCAACACAACAGTGACCAAAGTAGAGTGGTCGGAAGATTCCGGCACATGGTCTGTAAACACCGCGGATGGATCAACGCTCGTATCCGAGATTCTCGTCAACGCCAGCGGCATTCTCAACAACTTCCAAATGCCAAATATTGAGGGATTCGAGAATTTTGCCGGCCCTGTGCTTCACACAGCCAACTGGGATTCGTCCGTAAACCTGAGCGGTCAACGAGTCGGCGTTATCGGGGCGGGCGCGAGTTCCGTTCAACTGCTCCCCGAGATCCAAACAGAAGCTCGCAAAATCAGTGTCTTCATCCGAACACCGTCGTGGATATCTCCGCCGGTAGCCCTGCCAGAGGCCAATCGTCCCGGACACACATACGGCATAGACGAAAAGGAAGCGTTCAGAGAAGATGAGAAGGAGTATCTCGAAACCAGAAAAGGTCTAGAATCGCAGTTCAACGGAATGTTCCAGGCCTTTTTCAAGGCGAATCCAGAGCAGAGAACTATGCGCCAGCGGTTCGAGACGAGAATGAGGAGTCTCATCCAAGACAAGACTTTGCAAGACCAGCTCGTCCCAAAGTTCGAAGCGGGATGTCGACGGATCAACCCAGGGGAGAGGTATCTACTGACACTACAGGAGCCCAATGTCGAGCCGGTGTTTGACGGAATTGAGAGAATCACATCCAGCGGTATCGTCGCGGGTGGTGTTGAGTACCCTGCCGATGTTTTGATCGCTGCGACAGGCTTCAACACCTCGTTCCGACCTCGTTTCCCGATTCTTGGCCGCAACGGCGTCAACTTGCAAGATCTGTGGGCTGAGGAGCCAACATCATATTGCGGGACTGGGGTCTCTGGGTTCCCCAATTACATGGTCTTCCTAGGCCCCAACACACCAATTTCAAACGGAAGTCTCATGGGTACGTCGTCTTTTGAGTAGATGTCATTGTTGTTGAGCGACGACTAAGTAGGTCCTTCCAGGCCCCATCGAGGCGACGGGAGATTACTTTATCAGAATCCTCTCAAAGGTCATCAGACAGCGCGTCAAATCCTTTGACGTAAGACCAGAAGCGCAAAGCGACTTTGATAAGCATACTCAAGAGTTCATGAAGAACATGGTGTGGACGGGCACATGTCGCAGTTGGTGTAAGTAAACAACAACCTCCGAGCACCAACCGCGCTCTCAACTTGAGAAAATTGCAATCACTGACAGTGTGTACAAATAGTCAAGAAAGGCGTCACAGGAAAAGTCAGCGCCCTCTGGCCAGGAAGTTCCCTTCACTACATGCAATGCTTGGCTGAGGACCGGTGGGAAGACTACGACTGGCGCTACGACGGTGAAAGGTACTCGTACTGGCGCGGGGGCTTCTCCTGGATCGAGCAGCCCGAGAAGGATCCACTCGGTATCGACCAGCGGGAGTATGCGACGTCCATGACTACCATCCCCCACAGGGCTTCTGATCTCAGCTTCTACCTGCAGAAGGCCGAGTCTCTCCCGCCAGGAGCGGTTGCGTTTGTCCCTCAGGCTCACGAACAGAAGCAGTATGTTGAAGAGGACGTGAAGATAGTGAACAATTTGGAGGGGTCTGGAAAGAAGGATGTCTCAGATGTCGTCAAAGACCAGACTTGTGCGTCTGCTCAGAGCATTCAGAACATCGAAGCTCTCAGACCGAGTGTTTTGGTCCCGGTCTAAGAGGCAGGCGGTCATAGATGATTCCTTACATTTGCAGCTTCCTTGCAACCGCGATCGGACTCTGTTAGCATAGAATTATCGGAAATACTAGAAATTAGAGGAATGATTCTAAAGTATCTAGCAACAGCTGTGGCGACCAAGTATTTTATGGATATGAAGTAATGCCCAACACTAGAGGGAATCTACAACAAGATATCTAGGAGAAGAAGGCTCACCACCGAGGGGTAAGCTGTGAAGCGTCAAGGGAATTCGGGGCGAGTAGTTCCTGTGGACATGGCCAGTGTAGTCAAATCTTTGATTCAAGGGTTCGATTTTGTTCCGTGTGTCTGTGAGTTTTACCAGAGGTAGAAAGGGTAAACGAAATTAGTCGTCGGATGCTCGTCCATGTTAGCAAGAACATTTTCAAACTCCATAATTTGCTTACAGGAATTCCGTTGCCTAATCCGGCTCAAGAGAATCAAGACGATGTATCGCGGTATCAAACAGCCACGCAGAAGTCTCAGGGCTTAATGAAGAATAAATCGAATTAAGCCCTCCAATTTTTGAACCCTAATTCAACTACGATTAGGTATGGTTCTAACCAAGGCGGCGATTATATGCTACTCAACTCGTGGAATTGGTGTTTTCCACGTACCAGGAACCAAATCACGTCTTACACGCCCAAGAGCCCCCCCATTGGAGTTTATATCTCCACCCCCAGCAAATCATCCCAGTCTTACCCCAGACTTGCCAACCTCGCCAGCAATTCACCCACTTACAATTGATCATGTCCTAGCTTCACCAAAATCAAACCACATGAATCTCAACGTCGTACCTAGATGAACAGAGTCTCACATTCAAATTCATACATCATTGTCTGGACCGGAACGCGGTCCGGACGTGTGTCATTGTGCAGGACGAAAAGTCAAAGTGGGGACGGACCGGTATCTCCGTGGCCCACGGGGACGATGAACCGCATTTCAAGGTGTTCCCACTCCACCACCATCCATCCCCTCCAAACCCCTCCATTCCCCCGCCTTTTGTCTCGACAGACAAGACTAGTTATGGCCTGGCTTGCTCCCACCGATGGCGGGCAACGAAGTGGTAAGCAAAGAAATTTGCCGAATTAAGTAATTCTTCCCTGCCCTTACGCCCCAGAGTTGACATATCACTTGAAATACCTACCTCGTCTTGCAATACGTACCTACATGCTCCGAAATAGACAGACCCTGTACAGAATAGAAGCTTGGTCCCTTCCTCTCCTCTCTTAATCCACCTGAAATCATCCATCCAAGCGCCATCTCTCCCGTTTTGACTAACACCCATTCCGCACTTCACGAGGCTCTCAGAACAAGCCATGGCTTCATCAATGGAAGTAGAATGCTACCTCCTCTCATCCAACCCAGACGCCCCGAACAGTCCCCTCCCCGTAATCCACTACAGAAACGTCCTCCCGGAACCCTGGAATGAGGAGTCGGTGACGGAGTTCCTGACCCGGAACCGGTGGGAGAAGAGGGTGAGTCTGTCATGATCACATCACAATGTGCAACCTAGACCTCAACTTTCCTTTTCCGCTACCTTTCTCTTTTCAAGATCTCTCATCACCGTCACGATAAGTGCCTCGGATATCTAGGGAGAGTAAGACATCCATTCTCAACTGACACTTTCGCGTCCCCGGCAAAAGGGTACCTGGGGCCACATCCCCATCCGCCACTTCCACCCAAATAGCCACGAGTGCTACGGTACGTCCAACTAAACCCATCACCCCGACCAATATTCTTCCATTCCCTCCCATACCACATCGACTTGATATCGAGCCGCGAAGGAGGAAGCTCTAGACAAGTATCTGATCATCACAAAGGCATCTTCAGCGGCCACTCAACGCTCCTAATCGGCAAAATCAACGAAGGCACAGGGCAAGAAATCTCCGTATCGACAGGCGACGTCATCGTCCTCCCCGCGGGCACGGCACATTCTTGTCTCGAGAGCTCGGAAGATTATCGATATATCGGCGTCTACCCCGAGGTCAGTCTATTTACTTCTGTTCACGCCCTCCCTATCTACCTATTATTCTCCTAACACATCCTCCGTCTTAATCATGCTACTCTGCTCCCTTTTCTCCTCCATGGGGATAGACCAACTGCCTCTAGCTTCATCTCATGTTCTCCCTAGCCGCAGGACACAAACGTGCTCGGCATCTAGCTAACACTATACACATAATCTAGGGTTGTCCAAGATGGGTGAATGAGATGGGCAAAAAGCCAGCCGGTACTTTCAGCCCCGTCATCAGAGATGTAGGCATGCCGGAACGGGATCCAGTATACGGAGTAGACGGGCCGTTGATGAGACTCTGGCATCGGAATGTGCTAGCAAAGTTGTAAAGAGCGGCGATGGAGATAGGAATTCATTTGTCACGATACACATGATATACATCACTCACGAGAAACGTCACGTAACTTGGTGGGAAGGCTAGTCATTCACCCATATGTGAGCATGCCGTGATAGTTGGTCTGATGCTACCCACGCCTCGATCTAGACCTCTGCAATCCTTCTAATCTTCATGCGTCTTTCCTCATCCCACTTCGTACAAATACATGGACAGGTACCCTAATGATACCAAGGGGGCTCGTCTCTACCCTTAGCCCCCGATTACACACGATACGCAACAACAAGAATTTGATAATACAGCAGAGTAGGGGGTTGTGTACTCAGAAAAGTGGTAAAGCGTTTCAAGGTCAGTCATCTGCATCGTCACAAGCTTCACGTTAAAATCCGCAGGCAGCGAACATAACTAAGCGTTAACTCGTGAGGTGTGTGTGGTACTGAAGAGGAAACAAGAACTGGGAAAAAGAGTAAAAGAGGAAAAGAGACATTAGGAAATATTCCTTTGCGAGAGTCGCCCCTCGTATGCGTATGATGCATGCCAATGCAGTCGTCATCGTTTCCCAAATGCCATGTTCGTGATCCTTCCTTCGCCGGTAGGAAAGAGTTCAAAAGAAAAAAAAAAGGAAATCCTAGCTGCCCTGTTTTATACGCCTTTGCGCTCCGTCTCTCCATGCTATCCCACTGTGGTATCATTCGCCTGGTGGCATAGCCAGGTCAATTACGATCAAATGTAGTGCGCCCAAAGTTGGCAGCACAGGGTTCACAGCGTAGAGCCGTTTGCTCGACTTTACCATAGCTCTATTAAGAGCTCGCTTTACTGAGTAGTGGCAAGCTTCTGGAGAGCTAGCAAGACACCTAGTCACAATTAATACTTGAGTACGAAATTGAGCAGAGGGACAATCAACTTACCGCTCACACCTTGTGTCAATGTCGCACCGGCCTCAGTGTTGCGGCTGTGCAAGCTGACAGTTACAACATCCTCGACAACCTTGTCTTCTCCAAGGGCGTTGGCCCACTTGAACACCTTTTCATCCTCACGCCCGTCACCAACGACCATGAGGAAGTCAACAGGGCTCTTGTGCTCCGAGTCAGGGGCCATGTGGACGCGGAGATCATCAAAGATCTTTTCTGCCGCGGTGCTCTTGGTCCAGTCAATGGGCTCAACGACAATGGAGCCATCGAGAGGAATGGCGTGGACACGCTGTGCCTCGCATGCATCGTTGACATGACTGGCACAGTCTCCAGCCTGGCGGGCCGCGGACTCGTAATCCTCGGCGCTCTTGTAGTGAAAGATCAAGCTGCAGCGCCGCTCTTCGATTTCGGCACCGGGGGTACGCTCGAGGAAGTAAGTCATGATGGACTTGACGGACTCTTTCCAGCTGGAAATCTGCTCTCTGTCCGCCATCTCCTGCCAGGTGTTCTTGCCGCAGTCCTTGAGGAAGCAGCCGTTCTCGGCAATGAGACCGAGGTTGGGTACGCGGCGGAACAATCGGTCGAGCTCTTCCGGGCGGCGGCCGGACATGATATAGACGGTGTTGCGCTCATCGAGCAGAAGCTCGTTCAAGACATCCAGGGTACGCTGCTCCAATTAGACTTGTTAATAAAGCAGAGGTTCTTGAAAGGATTCTTACCTGAGGGCTGACAGGGATGATCTGGTTCATTGGGCCCCAACTAACCAAAGTGCCTTCATAGTCGAGGATAAAGAGGCGTCGATTGCTGCGAGAGTATCGCTGAGCCAGAGTGTTGATGTTGAGACGCGGGACCGAAGTTTGGTCGTGCTTGTGCTGCTCGTCGTATACGCGATCGAGGCGGGACAAGAATTCGCTGAACCAGTGCGATCCGGTGTGGTGCATGACGGCCGAGTAAAGCGCAGTCCAGCGGCGTTCCTTTTCTTCGTCGCCCATCTCGAGTGCTGTCTTGATCGCGTCGGCGCATTGGCGGTAGTCCCAGGGGTTGACCGAAAGCTCGTTGCCGCCAAATAGCGACGATGTACCAGTGAATTCGGACAGAATTAGCGAGCCATGCTTCTTCTCGGAGAAGACCTCGCCATCCTGGCAGAAGAGATACTCGTGCGATGTCAAGTTCATGCCCTCGCGCTGGCTCGTGATCATCAGCGCATCGGCCATGGTCAACAGGGCAAGGTACTGGGGGTAGTCGATATCCTGCTTCAAGTAGACGACGGGTTGGTAGGCCAGGTTGGCCCAGGAAGAGTTGACTCGGGTGACAATGTCGCTAACAGTCGCATCCAAATCAGACTTTTCGCTACCGGAGAGGGCGACTTGGATAAGGACAATCTTGTCGCGCCATTCGGGATTCTTGTTCAGGAACAGCTCGTAGGAAAGAAGCTTCTGACGAACGCCGCGAACGTGGTCGAGCTTGTCGCGAGCTACAATGAGCTTCTTGCCCTGGTAGCGCTCCTTCATGATCTCGACCCATCTCTTCACATCGTTGTCGCCGCGGTGTTCGCTGAGGTTGACAGGATCAATGCCGATGGGCAAGTTAACCACGTCGACAAAGCGATCCTCCAACTGCAGTCCATCAGTGGTTGCTTCGACACTCAGCAACCTGCTGCAGGTCTGCAAAAAGTGACGAGTGTACTCGTGGATTTGGAAGCCAATGAGATTGGCACCCAACATACCCTCGAGAAGCTGCTTGCGCACGGCCAAGCATCTGAAAACCTCGGAAGAGGGGAAGGCAACGTGCAGGAAGAAGCCAATCTTGGCGTCGGGCAGCTTCTTGCGCACCATGCCGGGAACGAGCAGCAGGTGGTAGTCGTGTACCCAGATAACGTCGCCGCGCTTCCAGTTCTTAACAATCTTGTCGGCAAAGGCCTGGTTGACGTTGACGTAGTACTTCCATGAGTGATCCTCGAAGGCCTTGCTCTTGGGGTTGTCGGGGATCTGGTAGTGGAAGACGGGCCAGAGAATCTGCTTGCAAAAGTGCGAGTAGTGGCCGTCAAAGTCCTTGTCGGAGCAGAAGACGGTCAGCATGTCGTGCTCGGTGGCGAGCCTGTCCTCGATGTCCTGCTTCTGCTGGGTACCCTCGAGGGCGTCGGTGGGCATGCCGAGGGTGCCAACCCAAGTGTATTCTCCAAGCTTGCCATCGCGGGCAGCGGCCTCGGCGGCGTTGCGCAAACCACCGTTGCCCTGGTCGGCGTTCATAACGCGCCAGTTGGCGTGGGAAAAGACCCGGTCATGGCTGTCGCTTCTAACGAGCGGTCGAGGCTGGGTGATGCCCTGACGACCAAGTTCTCTAGCCTTCTCGAGGGTGCGACTGTGCTCGGCGATGAAGGCAGGCGGGGGCGAGCTCGCGCGGGACTTGGGCTGGGTGGCTCTAGCACCCCACTTGGGAGAACCTTTGTCGATTGGCGCACCACGCTTGCGCTCTTCGTCGGGGAATATACGGAAACCGTCCTCGTTCGTGAAGGGATCTTTCGGGACAACGTCTTCGGTCGGGGTAATGGGAGGTGTAATGTCGCGGATCGGGTTGAAGAGACTGGGTTGGTTGTCGCCTTCGGTTCGCTGGGACTTTTCGGACTTTTTGGCGCGGCGCAAAGGGTCGCCACGTTGAGGCGTTCCGGGGAGGGCGAAGTGGACGGTTTTAGGGAGAAATCTGGACGTCGGCAAATTAGTTCTTGATCTTGCATGGCAAGGCGCTCAAGATTGAAGCCCAGCAGCCGGTGGGAGTCTTGGATGGTTGCATGAGAAGTATCTGCGCAGAGGGGGGTATCCTGGCAGATACTTCGTTGACGTTGATGTGACGGAAAGGCAAGTAAGGCAGACATATCATAATCTTGAGACGCAGGAGAGCTTACAATGATGCGATAAATACCGTCATGTTGGGCAATCTGGCTAGTGGCTAGCCGTCTGTGTCGTGTGAAAGTGGGAAAAGGCCTCGGGGAGGTAGATGGTCCGGTTTGGAAGAGGCCGCCGAGTGATGGCAAGGGATGGAGGTTGAATAGAAGTTGACGTGAAGGTCGAGACGGAGGAGACGGGTAGCTACTAGCAGCTTTTCGTAGGGCAGAACATGTGGGAAGAGTCGAAGTGGTGTGTGGTTGAAAAGATCAAGTGAATGTATTCTGGGTTGAGAGGTTTCTCCGTTGTCAAGGCGAGGGAGAGGAACCGAAGGCGAGGTGACGTTGTTCGTTTGTAACAAAGTACCTCTTGCTGAGAAAAAGCCCTTAGAAAAGGACGGGATGGTGGATGAACAGACGGAGGGTTGTGTGTTTGTGGCTGAGGTAAAATGTGGGAGAGCAGTGAGAGGTGATTGGATTGATGCTTGTCTCAGACACAGCCGTAGGTGAAATGTGAATGAGGATTCCTTTAGGTCAGGTAAGAAAAGTGAGGATGTATGTAAAGGACTGGAAGATGAGGCGAGGGAGAATTTGGAAATAAAGAGCTGCCGGGAGCTGTGCAGTTAGTTGTAGTTGCTGCTGTGGCTGCTGCTGCTGCTGCTTGCTGTGTTGCTGGGAGCTGCGCAAAATGTACCGTCAGCTTTGAGCTTTTTTATTTTCTTGGTTAATCAAGTGCTGGTCCTTGTCCCCGGACCAGCCAGAGCCTGAGCCTTGCGTAATGTAAAATAGCACTGGCTGACACTGGGCTGGGCGGAGGCGCATGCGTCAGGGAAAACACAGAAAACGGTTGGGCCAGTGAGCGATGCAGCTGCGAGGAATCGATCGGGGTGGGTAGAGGGGGGAAAGGGAACGGTGGAAACAGAAGAAGTGAGGATAGGATGAAGGGTACGGAGTAGTGTTTGTGTCTGTACAGAGAGTACCGTGAAGCGTTTGTCTTGTGTTCTTCTTCTTTCTTCTCCACGATGTTTCGGCATGCAACGTTTTCTCGAGAATATTCCAAAGTGGGGTGGGAATGCCGCTCTCTCGGTCTTTTTTTCTCAAACTTTTTTCTTCTCTCACCCTCAACCCTGGGCGAAAAAAGTCACGATGAGAGGGTGGGATTGGACGGGATGGGATGGGACAGGACAGGACGGGGATTGTACTTTAGTGCGAGTTTAAGGTGAGGATGAAGTGGATGTGGTGTGGGCGTGGTGGATGTTGAAATTTGACTGGACTGTCACTGACCGGGAGAGCTGCAAGTGTGAAAATGTGGATGGAGCAGCGGGATTGGCCCGGAGGGAATTGGACGGACTCGACTGGGGTGAAGGCTGATGATGATGGGCTGGTGGATGGTCCAGGGGTGTGGAAGCTCTCGGGATGGATTGCAACTGCAAGAGCCTGGAGAGCACGGGAAGTGGAATTGTGAGGATGAAATGATGAAAACCGTCTCCTTGCTGTGTACATACTAAAGGCATGGGCTGGGGAATGACGGACTGCAATGAAGCAAGCGTGGTTTTTGAAGGTGACGCCATTCGCGGAACGGCCCAGCCCACTCACTTATTCTCTCATTCACTCACTCATCCGATTTTCTCTCTCTCTCTCTCTCTCTCTCTCTCTCTCTTTCTCTCTAGCCCTCTTACTCTTAGATGACCGGCTGTTTGAGGCCACGAGTGAGATGAGAGAGCGAGGTAGAAAGTGAGAATGAGATGAGGGTGAGGATGAGGTTGAGGATGAGAGTGAGAGATAAATCTGGCCGGGAAAGGAAAGAACAAAACAACAAAGGTGGACGGGCGGGAAGCAACTGCCAACGGGCGAGGAACGTCACTGACGTAATGAGGAAACCGAGCTACGTACCCTGGACTCCTAAGCCTTGAGCCTTGAGGCGACGAATGCGAGTGGGAGCTAACGCAGTGCACGGAGACGTACCGTCGACAAGTCGAGACTGCGCAAAACGAGGCTAATGCACGCCGTCTACCAAGACGGAACCGGAGAGATACTCAGAGTCGATGTGTACCTCTTCGTATTGCAGGATAAGTGCTGGACAAGAGAGAGCCTGGAGAGGCAGCTGCAAGATGAGATGCAGCGGGCAAGGTAGACGGGACCTCGAGCCTAGAGATAGAAAAGAGGCTGCCGCTAGCCAGAGAAGCTACCTTGATTCGAACCGGCTATGCGCTCCCTGCGATTGGTAGGTATTCGTATGGTAGATTGTACTTTGGGTAGCTCGTCCGTAGCTTTGGTTGGATTTTGTTGGCCTTTGAGGCTTGCGTGGTGGTTGTGGCGGTGGTGCTATGTTGAGAATCCCGTTGGACCTGTCTTTTTTTCGATTCTTTGAGGAAATAGGATTGTAGATTATTTCCCCTGATTTTCTAATCTGAGTATGTTTCGCGTTTCGGGTCTGGTCATCAGCGTCCTTCGACTTTTTCTTCGCGGCGTCAAATGTCGTTTTAAGTTGGGCGCCCCGGGGTAGGGTGTTCCACGTCGCAACAGCGATGCACCCTCGACACTGGAGACCGGGTGAACGGCTAGGTAGACGGGGGGAGCTCGACCTCGAGCGAGGGAGGGGTGGGATTGGGAAGTGTGGATGGGTTGGGTTCAATGGGTTGGCCAGCTGCAGCCCTGGCAGTCGACAACTGAACGCACGTGTGGAATGCGACGGACCCGACGGGCCCACGACGGAGCAGACGTCCGGGAGAGTGGACGGCGATGTTCAGAGAAGGGCGACGAAGATGATGAAGTGGACGACGATGAGGCCGAAGACTGGAGAAGATGGAGGGACGCTGAAGGTTGGCGGTAGTGCTGACGACGATGCTGAGTTGTAGTGGATAGCTTTAGGAGGTTTTGTTCCGCCACAGGATCCAACTACACGGAGTATCTTGGTTTGCAGATGCTCGATGAATTCTGAGCTCTAGAAGGTGACGGAGATGGCCCAGGGTAAATCAAGGAAGAGCCGAGAAGACCAAAGAGCTAGTGTGGGGAACGAGAGGACGAGGGACGGGAAGGGAATCGAAGATCGGGATGGCAGGAGACTTTTAACTAGTCACACCCTCACGGCTCGGGGGTGATACTGCGTGGAAGATGGAAGAGCATGATTGAAGAATCCAAGGGAACTCAGTGATCTTGTCCCATTTTCCATGTCTGTCCTGTTCTGCCCGTCCCTCCTCCACATCGCTGAGTGTGAGAGATGCCTCTTTCATCCTACCCTAACCACCCCCCCTCGAGATAGCATGCAACACCATGCCACGCCATGCAACGGACATTTTCTACGGTTCCAGAGCGAGCGGGCGATGGGGCCCAGGCCAGCCGCCGTCTCGTCTGGGAAAAGCTCAATGTGAGAAATGCAACGTCTCTCCTTCTCGGTGAGGCCTCTCCTTATCCGCGTCTACTAGGTAAAGAGGAGGAAGTACAACTGTGTACATTGAAGTTGGTGTTGCCCATCACTTGTTGCTGTTGTAGTCTGACAACTTGACAAGCATGTTTCCCACCAGAATAGAAAGGAAGCTTGTCGCCGTTGGTGTATCATCCCCGAGCAACACGACCGAAACAGAATCCTACCTCATGCGGGAAGAATTGGAAGAAGCCAGGTGCCGCGATGGCTACTACCGGAACGGATTCGCGGTACGAACATCACCACCCTAGCTAGACCTTTGCCTTACTCCGTCCAGTACGTATCCGCAGAGACACCTCGGTTTCCGTGCCGCTGTGACTTTTCAGAATCTTGGGGCTGACAGGGATGGTGATGCTGCCCATCTTCCCTGGTCAGTGGTCCCAAGGCAACGTCAGGGATCCTTCGGGAATGACTGGACGGAAGCCACAGCGCCGCCAGAAGACTGGCCAGTTTCGACAGCCATGTTCCTCATTTACAGGCACCTAGCGAACCACCAAAGGCTGCTCCGTAGCTGACCGGACGACCGAAAGGTTTTCTTATCACCCCAGGGTTCAAGACATTGAGACACGGTGGCGTGCCAATGATTGAAGAAAGCCAAAGCTGGGAAGCGCAAAAGACAAAAAGGCAAATATGACTGATGATGGACTAATGATATGTCGTTCCCTCAAGGCCGACAGGAGCCGTGAGTATGACCTTTATCGTCCATCATCAGCCGGGACTCACAGCATCACACTGCGAATGGTCGGATTCTCTCATTTGTGACTAAAAGAACTCCCTTTGGTCAAGCTTTCGGTCTGAAATTCCAACATGTCAGACTAGGACTGGCCGGCCTGGACTGTGCTCACTCAATCACTCACTCGCTCATTCACTCCCATCATGAACAGCACGAGCCAGCAGGAAGATGATGCGCTTCGTGGCCCTGGGTTGGGTCTGCTGATTTCATGTTGCCATCAAGATTGTCGAGACAAGCCCGCTTGCACCCCTTGTTACCTCGTTCAGTCCGCCTCATTCAAGCTGAAGGGGCATGAACTGAGACTCATGTCATGGACGCTCTTTTCACCAGTGTTTCCTGCCTCTCTCTCACCCCTCCTGTCACGTCAATCAACCAAGTGCAACGCGCCGACAAGCCACTGCTATTTGGTGAGGTACACTTGCCGGATTGGCGCAAACGGGGAGCGGAAGGGGCCTCCCTCGTGGAAACTGGAGACAAAATACAACCATGCGTCGGCCGTGGCTGCTACAAGAAACATCCGGAAAGCATCACATCTGGTCTGGCAACATCACGTAGTCTTTCGCTTCTGACGTCTCTCTCACATCTTCGTCCAGTCTCTATCATCGCAGCCCCCTCTTCTTCTTGGCCTTCACCTTGACTCCTCTTTTCTCCTTTGGGTTCGAATGAGGGGGAAACAAAAGACAAACACTAACACTAAACAATACCACCACCACCAGCATAACCATCACTACGACCACCTTGTTCATCTTTCTTCAGCAGCAGTTCCAACAAATCATCACTGCCAGCCAGCCACCACATCGCCGCTTAGTTTTGCCCGACGAGATTCGGCAGAAGCATCGATCACCACCACCATGGCCATCACCAGGTCCTCCAATAGCTCGGCGATACTACCGAGCGAGGACGTTCCCTTCCCTGAGAGCGTTGCCGCCCACCAACCTGGCGCGCAGACAAGCGTCGTTCTACGGTACAGCACGCCTGCACATCAACATCGACGCCGCATATGCACCTCGTGCGACCCCAGCACAGCCCGATATTCAGAGATAACCTGGTGCTTCGCCTTACGACGAACAAAACCCTTTGGATTGACGATACGCCACCCTGGGTAACCCATCCACTCGCCGCCCATCGCGTGGCCACCCTTTGACCACACGTCTAAGCACGCCTCGCTGACGAAATCCTCAAAGCTGAGATGAATGATTTTCCGGGCGGCTGTTTGTCGCCTGCAGCGCCTCCGATAGACAACTTTGAGATCTTGTCATCGTCGTGGAGCATTACGTTATTGATCCATCTGCCGTCAAGGAAGACTCCCTCGTACCACCGCCAGAGAGCTTCAACAAACATTACTACGGGCCACGAACTAACATCGCATATTCCCCGGCAATGGTAATCCGAGAGCTTGTCCCCTGGCCTCCGTTGCCCACGTTAGACCTGGTGCAACGCGGAACCCCAAACTCAATCCATCATGCAAGCTCTTAATTCCACCATTTTAGGCTCTCAAGCAATGCCTGGTTGGTGTCGCCCAGTGTTGGGAGAGCTCTACAACAAGCTGAACAAAAGACAGCTTGGGACCAGCAGAGTCTTGATTGAAGCTTGTGCAGTTTGACCGAGCGGCCAAAGCAACCTCCCAAACATTTATTATTATTTTTTTGGCTCCCATGTCATGCTTCTACACCTTGGGTGGAATCTCTGGCTCTGGCCGGGTCCCCGGTCCCTGTGGAGTTGGGCTCGCGTTCCACGTTTTTTGTCTTCTTCTTTTCTCCTGCCTTTCTCCCCCTCTGTTTCTTCAACGCTCAAAACTTTTAATGGACCATTCTGATATGGAGCAGCTTGTTCATGTGACAGGAGGCCCCCCTTGAAACTAAAAAGGGACTCGGGGAGAGCCCCAACTTTGTCTCCATCTTCAAAGATCTAGTCAATCACCCGGCCAGTTCGGCCCAGCTTCCCATCCACCTTCATCCACCGAAGCGGGCGTGGCTCAACGGTGCCCACTTCGATCTTGAGGTTCGGAGAGACCACGGCGCGGGGAAACTTCGCTCTGGGTTTTCGGGTTCCGTCAGGATGCGTCTTGTGAAGAAATTCCACAGGAACCCATGTCTACCCTCTACAGGCCCTATCATCGTTCAGGCTATCGCCCACTCTCACAGTCATCCTTAGAAGCATGTGCTTCCTGCAACGGTCCCAAAGGAGCGACTCGCCAGCAGATATCCAGGCAAGCCGTAACCTCGTCTGCCCCAACAAGGCGGAGACGGCGAGGGCCCGACAGCCTAGAGCACCGAGAGGTCCGAACCTGAACCAGGACGCGTGTTGCTACAAGTCTGGGCTATCGTGCAGCGCACCTGGGGGCCTGTACTGGTGTGTCGACTCATCATTACCTCCACGAATTCTTTGGAGGCCTCGGGAAATGGTTGAGGAGCGACATTGGCCCCCTTGTTGCTGCTTACCATTCTTCACGATGCAGCCACAACCGAAGCGCGATATTACTGAGCCTTGGTCCCTGGAGTTGTTAGTCCACACATTCACAACAGTGCCATTCGCGTTGGGCAATATGCCATTGCCAAGGGTCGACGCACTCGCAGGCCTTTCACTGCAACGCCGATCGGCAACTAGTACGGCAATATAAGCTCGGCTGTGAGTCTCTCCTATCGCTATTCGCTTTGCTTGTCAACGTTTAGGTTGGGCACCAGAACCAAATATCACCAAGTAAGAAATGCCTCAACAGCGGCCGTTCAGCCGAAGTGGCTGTGACTCTGAGAGTTGTAGCGGCCCAATCAACCTCGGGGCGAAAGAACTGTTTTCGAACATGAAGTCTTCCCTCCAGTCAAAGCTTTCATGTCAACCTCGTGGCATCCCACAACACAATCCACAGGAGAAATCCACAGCTTGATTCACTTCAACTCCAAATCGATGTCCCATCCTTCCCCACACAATGAGACCCCAGTCCAGACGACATGTTCCCCTCACATCAACCGCAGCCGCGCTGCACCCCATTTCTGTTCTATTCCTTCGATCTAAACTTCTCAAGTCTTCCTGGACACCCTCATTGATACTACATCGCCGACCACTTCGATAGCACGCGCCGGTATATCCCGATGGTGCAGTGGACACTCAGTCCTCCTTGGTTCTATAGGCTGAATGCAAGACGGCAGAGAATCATCCCTTCGGCGCCCAGCGCGTCTCAGAATCAACTTGATCGAACAAGGCGCCGCTGAGGTGACTGAGAACAGCTAGTCGATTGCTCGACTGTCCGCCACATCATGCCTCTCCTCTCTAGGCGCCAACCGCAAACCAGCCGCTTGGCATATGCCCCCTTGTCTAGACACAGAAAAAGAAACATCATATATGATAGAATTTCCCCGCCCATCTCGTTCGAAGCCACCATCCCAGGCCCTGCGCTCGAAGTACAGCTCAGCCGGATCTTGGTCACTCCGTGTCAAGTCGGTCCAACAAGGAACATTTGAATCCCTCCCCGATGTTCCAGGATCACCCGTTTGACACTCTGTCCGGATTTTGTCACTGTTCAGAGGTCAAGCTGAGGATTGAAGATTCAAGCACTAGTAATGCACCTCCATTAGCGCTCGGCTGGTCAGGCAAAGCACCAAACGCCCCGGTTCGACTCGGTGACGGCGCTGCCTGGCCTCACTCGATACTTTACTAGGGGCGGCCCGGCCCTGTAGTTCCGCCATAGCACTGGGTAAGGTAGCTACGAAATAGTGTGCACTTCCATGCACCGCCGATGGGATGCCATCATGCTCATGCCAGAACGAACCGATGGGATAGCCCAGATGCACATCCCATCAGCACACCAGCGGCACGGGATTTCTAGCCCAATCTGGATTTCAGATGGTCACGTTTGCCCATGGTGCGGAGAAGGACGTAAGGCAGTACATATTCTTTCTTTAGGATACATGATAAGCTGTTGTTGGGGAAGAGGGACGGGCCAAAGATGGAACGATCGGGTTTGACGGACTAATGCCAAGGACCCATCGCAGAGGTGCAATCGCATGCAGGCCGCGACGACGTGCAGCAGAGCATTCTCACTCTAGGAGGGATCTTCGGTACGCCTGTTCGTGCTGTCGCTTTCGTTCAGCCTCCTTCTGCCTACACAGATATTTAGGTGTTTGCTGGTTGGTGCCATGGGATGCCATGCTTAGAGACTACAGTATGCAGGGCATCCAATCCCATGGCTCGCTCAACCACAGGTACACATGGCGAATAGCACGTCTATCTCCATTCCTGACTTCGAAATTGACGAGGTATGAGGGATGTTGGGATGTAGCAACAAGTCATTGCTATCCTTGCGGTTGAGTGATGGCGGTTTAATTCCCGCCAGCGCACATCCTACACGTAGATCAGTGTGGTGGGTATATGGTGATCATTGCTAATGCCTGGGCTGCATGCAAAGGCAAAACTCGTGTTGCTCAACATTCGACGACAATGACACATCGGCAATACAGTACGTCTGAATCTCACGACTAACATGAGCTGTCTTGGTTGTGTCCTCGATCTTGTGAAGTCACCCTATTGTGGACTTGCGCTGTAGCCATGGTAAGACCTCGGCTAAGGGGAAACAACCTGATCTGATCTCCCGGCTTGTTCGGCTACAAATCATTGCCATGACTTGTTTTCCCCCGCTCCCTTTGTCCCGACTCCCGACTAGATTCCGCGATTATGCTCCGATTTCAGGATCCCGTTAGTCCGTAGGTGGGGCCGATGACATACAGTTCGGATGGATGGAGTGGGACTGGGTTCGGTGTGGGTTGAGGCTATTCGGGAGAGCGGGTGGGATTCAAGGCTGGCTTGGATTTACAGCAAGTGTGAACTCGCTAGACGCTATTTCATCAACAGCCATAATCAGTCTGTTTGTCGTGGTCATCCTTCAGCTAAACTATCTCTGGCCTACGCTTGTAGCACGAGATGATGATGCTAACATGGAGGTGCTTTAGGGGCTCTATCCCGAGGTACATAGTCCAAGATGGAGACGAGAGAACGGCAACCATACAGGGACTGTTATATATAATATCAAGCTGCAATAGGTTTAATTCTGGGGGAAATACTATTCAGGCACAGAATTAAATAAGATGCAGTGCCTTCATGTCCTCATCAACGGCTGGCAATCGCCCACGAGATACCACCGAGGTTCTGCCTCTCAATCATAGTACTACTAAGGTACACCGAGAAACAGAACTCAGCACTTGACAATTGAAGAAAAAGGAAAGAGCAAAAAAGAGTTCACCACCGGTGTGGCTACATCTCTTGGTGCTCATGCTGGGATTCGAACTCGGGTACTCGTATGCGCTAAGCCTGTCGTCGAGTAGGCTGGTTGGCGATTTTAATTGTTGACCATGAACCACTCCACCACCCAGCCAGTTTGACCTGACCCGTCGACCTAGACGGGCGCCTGCTGGCTGGTGACGGGAATGGAGTTGAGGGGGGGTATATACCTTCAGACGGGAATATACTAGGCAAGAACGGAATACTCATACATTCAGGTTCGGAATACCCACTACGTCTATCTCGAGACTTCAATGATGCTATGCACAGCAGACTTCAACCTCCAAATATTGACAACACGTAATCCAACCGAGGTGATAAGCTCCCTCCACTGATCCTCCGTCCGCTCTTGACCGGCGACCATGGCCATCATCTGGATATCGAAGGCGGTTGTCTGCGGATGTGCTAGAGCCGTTTCGACAATGTTATCGTGGATGAGTAACTTGCTGGATCCGGGCGTCATGGCGTCTCTCTGAATTTCTAGAATCTTGCGGGCTGGGGCGTCGGACCAGTCGTGGAGTATGGAGTGTAGTAGGTATGCTCTCGCTCCTGTCGCATGTGTGAGTGGTGAGTTCTAGCCTACAGACCGGAGTGAATCAACTCACCTCTTATCGGCTGTGGTGTAAAGAAGTCGTATGAAACCCTGTTTACTCCCTCCGGCAAGACAGCTTGATCTACCACGGACCCTAAATCCTCGAGATACAGTCGGGAGGCTGTCTCTGGGTAGATGGAGTGGAACTTGAGTACATCGTGCCCGGTACTCCCACCAACATCTACAAGCAAAGGCGTCTGAGCATCATCTCCTTCCATCAGTCTCTCGACTGGGAAGATCTCTGTCCACGCAGGATGTAGTCCGGAGATTGTCTGCTGAATAGTACTAAACTGCTCTTGCTGTTTGGGGTGGGCTTGGTAGTAGGACCATAGATCGCCGTCCCACCTGTGCGCGTACTGGAAGACGGTGTAGGAGGAGTCTTGCGGATTGGTGTAGTCCGTTTTTGAAAAGTATTCTGGCATTTTGGCGTACATTGGGAGGATCGTGTCATTGCTTGAGAGTGTCAGTCCAGGGATGCTCTTCTAGAAGATGGTGGAGGGAAGGTTCCCACAAGCTGTGGATCAGACTGTCGAACAATGGTGCTGTGACGGAAACTCCGAATGACGTCGGCTTGAAGACACCTACGGAGGTTTCTTCAAGAAGATGATTCGATGCCATTAGACGTAGGAACCGATCTATATCGTAAGACATTATCAACTTTACGACATGAACAGAAGACTCACAGAGTAGCGCGGGATCACAAGTGCCTCCAAGAAGCTCAGCAAGCTGGCAACTCGTCATTGGCTCGCCGTTCCGAGCTTGCCATTTCTCAAAAAGTTGCAAGTCCTTCAGAATCTTCAGAGTTGCGCCAAGGGCCGGCTGTGTCTGTGTGAGAATTAATGCAGCGAGCTGAGGGAAGTTGATTGACTATGGAGTCTATCTCTTACCTGTGTCATACAGATCCTCACCAATGTCTCCCATGGAGGTTCTAGGCGCGCCATTAGAGCGTATGTTCCGAGGAGTGCTTGCATGCGCTCATCTTCACTTGCGAAAGAGGTTGAGGTTACATCTTGGATGCCCTTGAGAAACGATGCTGTCGTGAGCTTCGTACTACTCCCATCCTCCGACGCCTTTTGTCCCTCGTCCTTGCTGTTCATCGCGTAGTTGGAGGTCTCAAGTATTTAGCTTAAAGAGTTTTCTTTAGGGTCATTAGTTGAGGTTAGGAACCTATCTTCTCGTGACCGAGGCTTTTGGCTTAAAAGGGCCTATTCTAAGGTAGCCGATAGACGGCGGTTATTTATTTTAACGCTGTGCAGATCAAACAAGTCTGCAGAGGAGATTCTTCCATTGAGTCTTGGCCATCCGGGGTGATGCTGGATGTAATGGCCCATGCTCTGGGCAAAGCAGAAAGGCAAACTTGTGTCACCATTCCAGGAACGTAGTTTGGCTTTTGACAAACGCTTACGAAATGAACAACTGGTCTAGGTGTAGAGTTTATCTGGTACAGTTCATGTCAGATTGAGGCGAATATGCAGTGCCCAACAACACAGTCCTGCGACGTCGAGCGGAGTGGTTCAAGATGTCTAGCAATGCAGGCCAAGGCAAAATTCGTGAGATAAGGCATGGGCAGCTTGGGAACAAATGGGGTATATTCTCTTTTGTGTATCCGTATTCTAGTTGCCAAAAACCCATCCATCATATGCGCAAGACCACGCATGGCAACAGTTGCCCAACTTCGCGCAGCAGAGACGCGCAAAACCTTGCCCCCTTAATGACACCACAACCTCACAGCCTTATCCTTTCCACCACTGCCCACGCGCTGGCCATCTCTGGGACTCCAGTCAACGGCATACACCTCATCCTGGTGCCCCGGAAGGTCTACAGCCAGCTTGTGCGTCGCCATGGACCACACCTTGAGCGTGGTATCTTTTGATGCCGTCACAAGCAGCCGCGAGTCGGCGGAGAAGGCGCACTGGTACACAGGCGCGACGTGTCCGCGCAGCGTGTTGATGAACTTGCCATCCCTCGCGCTCCAGAGCTTAGTATGGTTGTCCCAGCCCGCGCTGGCGATGAGAGTGCCATCCGGGGAGAAAGTGACGTGGTTAACCTGCTTCTGATGACCCAGCATACGCGCCACGGGCTTGGTGCCTTGTGACGGGTCCCAGAGGTACATTGTGAAGTCGTCGCTAGCCGAGACGATGCGTTCGGCCACCTTGCCCTGGATCTTGGCGGCCTTCTCGAAGCGCTCCTTAGCCTTGGCGCGGCGAGCCTCCTCCGTCTCCGGCGTGGGAGTGTGGTCGAAGAAGCCCGTTCTTAGGGCAAAGTCGGAAGATAGGGCGAGGTGGTTGACCCAGTGGGCGTGTGAGGAGAGCGTGTGCACGAGAGTGCCCTTGACCGAGTCCCAGACCTTGACTGTCTTGTCGTGGCTACCCGTGTAGACGAGCCCAGTACCGCCCCATTTCACGCAGCTGACGCTGCTCTTGTGGCCCGACAGGACGTGCTCTGTCCGACCCGTGTTGACGACCCAGATGCGCACCGTCGCGTCCTTGCTGGCGGATGCCAGGCGGGGAGTGCCGTCGCGCCAGAGGTGATAGGGTTCCCAGGCGATTCCAGTGACCCATTTTGCGTGGCCAGATAGGGGCTGGCCGACAGCGACGCCTTTGTCCGGATCCCAGAGGCGAACCGTCTTGTCCATGCTGCCCGTTGCGAGGCGGCGGCCGTCGGCGGACCACGCAACGCAGAGCACCCAGCCGGAGTGGCCCGAGAGTGTGAACTTCGGGGTGCCTGTCTCGGTATCCCATATACGAGCTGTCTTGTCGCCACCGCCCGTTGCTAACCTCTTGCTGGTCTCGGGGGAGAACTGGGCTGAGAGGATGGCTTCGCCGTGACCTGGGATGCGATGGGCCATGCGGGTGACGGCTTGCACCTTGAATACGGCCTGGGGCTCGGCACTAAGAGTGACTGTTGTTTCGAAGGGGTTTGCGACGCCATGGCTGCGAAGGAGCTCGAGGAGGTTGGTGGGGTATTGGTCGACGATGATATCTGTGTCGGGGATGTGGATTCGGAACTTGTACGGGAGGAAGTCTTCTCTATCCTGTCTTGGGGGTTAGACAACGGTCGTATACGGGACTGCCAACAGAAAGTATATGACTGACCTTTCCTTGCAAGGTGTTGAGAAGGAGAGTCAAGTTCTTCTCAGAAGCGTCGGCGAGGGGCACCTCGATCACCTCAGCCAGCTGCTGTCCGTCGCCATCAACGAAGCGGGCCTTAAAAGAGCCCTCAAGGCCCGGAGCCATTGCTGTGACATCTTGCTGAGTCTGTGTCTTCTCGAGCGTCTCGCGCTTTTGACGCTTCGAGGGCGGGGGGAGTACCGTCGCCATGGTTGTTGCGTCGGTTGACCGCCTGCTCGAAAATAGTCCTTTTTTGGTCTTTGAAATTGTCAGAAATATTTCGACTACAGCGATGCGGGATGGTGGGGCAGAAATTTTGATGCGCAGACGGGACGGTGGACCAGGGACCATCGGTCAAAAATTGCCCGTGGTTGCGACGCCCCCACTACAACGGTCTAAAAAATGTCATCGCTAGCATTTGCAAGTGGAGAAACAATATGTTGTCTGTTAGTGCGGGCATTGACAAGATAAAAATGACCCCCAGTTCAGACGATGAACAAACTCCGAGAGCCATCCTGGCAGCTCTCTCCCGGAACTGTGCTTTTTCAGCGAGAAGAAAACTAAGTATGTCCGGGCCAGCTTGCTGCGCTGGTATCCTTATAAACGCCATGCCCCAGTTCCTCCATCCGGTAGGGTATCTGTAACCCTCTTACACATTACACACACTGAGCCCTCTCAAGCTCATCATACACAATCTCCCCTCCTCCTCTTCTTCCAATGACCAACGGCACAAGCGGCGACTATCTTCCCATGTGAAGGCTGGGGTCGAGTGTCTGGTCCATAGCTGTCTTCTTCGGCCGGCCACGCCTCTTTGAGCTTGTGGCCGGCGAGGCACTTGACGCTCCCTTTGACATTGCATTATTTGTAGGAGTCGCAGTGTACTGATGGAACACTTGCGGCTGACCTTGCGCCGACTGCATGCCGAATTGAGGCACAGGAATAGGCGTCTGTTGGACAGCATTCTGCTGCTGGAAGGTGTTGTTAAGGTGCTGCCCGCGCATCTGCATCGTCCTCTGGTTGCGCTCCTCGATCTCAGCTTGCCGATCTCTATACTGCGCGTGCTCGTCGTGGGTTGTCTGCTCAAACGGGTGCTTAGGCATACCAGCCATGCCATCCCGGGACATCTGGTTCATCTGCTGCTGAACCCGATTGTGGTTATGGCCATGATTGTGGCCAAGATTATGATTCTGTACTTGTTGCTGCTGGTGCTGTTGGGGATGTTGTTGATATTGTTGATGTTGCACTTGCTGATGCTGCTGCTGTTGTTGCGGTTGAGGGGGTTGCTGTTGTTGGTGCTGTTGCTGTTGCTGGGGCGGTGGTTGTGGTAGTTGTTGCTGTGGTACCTGCTGCTGCTGTTGCTGCTGTTGCTGCTGCGGCTGTTGTGTGCTTTGCGATTTGCGTCGACTTTCTTCGATCTCTTGATGCTTCTTCTCCTGCCTAGCCTGCCTTTCTTGTCTCTGCATATCCTCGTTCTCGACGGCATATATGGCTGCGATGCGCAGTTGCATCTGGGCTAGTATACCCAGGCGTTCAGGTTTCGACATCTTGCGGTACTCGGACTTGAAGTTGTGAAAGGTCTCGCCGGTAAGTCGCATCGTGTTGGGAGCGGCTCCCACCATGAGAAGGAGGGCAGCTGTTGTAGGATCTGGCGCCGGACCAGAGTTTTGCACTTCCGGAACTAGGAAGGTTAGCAAGGAACAACGGATTGCACCGGGGTAGGAGGCATACCAATTGATACGTCCTGAACGACGTCGGCATCTCCCTCCGCATCAGCATCCTCCTCATCGGTCGGCGGGTCGGGCGTACGCGCTTCATGGTTGTGTTCGCTGCATATGATGGTCAAGATCCATTTCCCCAGCGTCTTACGATTGACGGCTTTGGCCTTCCAAGGGCAATTGGTCTTCTTGGTGGATGTCTTCAGCTGCGTCGCTGTGCATTTGTAAGGCTGGCCACCACGATCGCAGACGAGATCACATCTGACGACCTCGCTTCCTTTCTCGTAGGTGCCGCCGACCTTGTTTCGATGGGTACGTGACTTGACGACCTTGTACCCATCTTTTTGCATGCGCGTCTTCAGCGCCGCGAAGAGCTCGTCGAACGAGGCATATTCCTCAGTGCCGTCGCTGCGGTCGCGGGCGCCCAGGATGCCGAACATGTTGACGGCGGGGCGGGGCGACTAAACACCAATGTCGCGATGGCTTCAAAAGCCTGGTCCCGGATCGGTGTCGGTCGAGATGGGCAGTTCGAGTCGTGGTGTCGCGGCGCGACGCGGTTTGGCTTCCTGTGCGGATTGGTTTTCCAAGCCTGTCGCAAACTCTTCCTGGCGTGTCAGGGCCGTGGGGATGACGACTTGACTCCACCAGCCGACATCTCATTACTTTAGTGGCTGTGCATCCGATAGTTATGTGGCTAGTGCTTGTGGCTCCACTCCTGACAAGACCGGGGCAACCCCGGCTCGGCCGTGTAAGTCAGGCAGGAGCTGTTGCCCGTTGCTGCGATCTTGGTATGAGGTTCTTCGATTCTTCTCAACGACGCCCCATCTATTTCTTCCGAGTAAGGGTAACCCCGATCTGTTCTGCTAGTTGAAGCCTCACCTCCCACCACTGTAGTCTACCAAATATATCCTGAACTGCGAGACCGCCACTATCTCGGCTGGTGTAGTCCACATCGCCACAAGATGGATGCTCGATACTTGCGGCCGCCGAGACCTTCGACGGGTTACATGACCACTCCTTCTCAGACACCAGCACCATACGGAAGGGCGTCTCCTTACTTCCCCCAAACAACCTCAAGAACGGGCACAAGCTCAGCAAATCCGAGAGAAGAAGGCTCCTACACGGCAACGCCGATACCATCTTCAGCGGAAGATCCTGTGTCTAGTTCTTACTACACCCCAAGCTACGACTACGGTACTGATACTGGTGGTACTATATCGAGACCTCGTACGACCCGGCCGAGCACTTCCCACACTAGTCGCACGTCGCGAACCCCTTTTCTGCCCAACAGCGCCAAACACACCATTGTGTGTGCCCTGAGCGAGGCTCGCGGAATCACGCCTGCTGTTGGAATTGTATTCTTCAACGTTGATACCGGAGAAGCCATCCTCAGCCAAATCTCCGACAACAGGTTCTTCGTTCGCACTCTCCACAAACTTCAGATCATGGAGCCAACCCATCTCCTGATCGTCAGCTCGTGCTGCCCCCCGAATCCCAAGTCGAGGCTTTACAGCCATATCGAGGAACATATGCCAGATACAAAGATCACATCTCTTGATAGAAAGTACTGGTCAGAGATGGATGGGCTCAATCGTATTCAAACCTTCGCATTCCGAGAAGACGCAGAAGCTGTAAAAGTTGCTATCGAAGGCAGCTTTTATGCGACTTGCTCATTTGCCGCGGTAGAAGTATCCTCGGAAATCCACGCTAGCATAATCACTGACTTTATGTAAAGGCTATGAGTTTCTTGGAGACCGAGTTCTCCGTGCGTGTTGTTCCACACTCTCTTCGCATTCGTTACCAGCCCTCGGAGGATACAATGATGATTGACGTATCTGCCATCATGTCTCTCGAGATCCTGCAAAATCGACGCCACGCGGCGTCTAGCGACAGCCTTTACGGTGTTCTCAAGCATACACTGACGCCCATGGGCGGCCGGGTACTTCGAAGTAATCTACTGCAGCCGTCTACACTAAAAGAGTCATACCTTGAGCCAAGATTTGCTGCATTGGAGGAACTTCTTGCAAATCAAGACATGTTTGCAGAGGTCCGAACAGGTTCGATTCTCCCATCTTTTTGTCATCGGCGACTGACTAAGATTGTGCAGCTTTGAAGGCTTTTCCTGATGTCGAGAGCATGCTGACCAAGGTACCGAACCACGATAACTGCTGATATCTTCCAGGCCCTGCTGACTGGGATAGCTTGTCATCATCCCTAACAAACCGTCCGTTGAGGCGTCAGAAAGAGCAATCAATCATGTTCTGATGGTCAAGACCTTCATAGATGCCGTTCCACCAGTGTTCCAGGCGCTAGGCCCTGCCACGTGCCCTCTTCTCACCAAAATCAGAGATCTCTGCCAGCCAGAGTTGACTGCAGCCGCCAGAGAGCTTGTGTACCAGAATATTCATGAGGATGTTCATTATGTCAAAAGCGCTCTAGACCTACGAAATCAAAGAACTTTTGCGGTCAAAGTAAGTGGCTTTGCGGTCAATGATGCTGAAAATTGGCTAACAATGCAGCAGCCTGGAATCAACGGGCTTCTCGATGTTGCCAGACAAGCCTATAAGGAAAACACCGATGACGTCCATAAACATGTTGAAGAGCTAAATCGTAATTGAGCTGACCCTCCCCCACCGTCCACTCCTCATTCTGACAAGGATTGCAGGCGAGCATAGTATCGAAGCTATCCTACGGTTTGATAACGGGCGCAAGTACAGCCTCCGAATGCGAGCAGTGGATTTCGAGGACCGGGCTATTCCTGCGGTGCTTGTCAACCGGACGATGAGGGGTCGTTACATCGAATGTCTCACAATGCATCTCAAGAAACTGAACCAGAGAATCACCGACTCCGTTGCGGAAGTGGTCATGCTGAGTGACAAGGTTATTCAGGACCTCATCGACAGCATCCGGACTCAACTGCAGCCCCTCTACCGCGTCTGCGATTCAATCGCACTGCTCGACATGATTGCGTCATTTGCACAGGCAAGTTCGACCTTCGATTGGAGAAGACCGGAAATATCAGATACTCTAGCGCTGAAAGCTGCTAGGCATCCCATCATGGACAAGGTTTGGCCTACCCACTGGCTGCCTCAACACATGCTGATCGTAAGCAGACTCTGAAGGGTGGCTTTGTACCGAATGATTATTACGCTACCGAGGAGCACCGTTTCCAGATTGTGACTGGCTGCAATATGAGCGGGAAAAGCACTTACATCAAGAGTATCTCTCTGCTCCAGATCATGGCACAAATTGGCTGCTTCGTGCCTGCTGAATACGCCAGTTTTCCCATTGTACACAATATCTTCGCTCGGGTGACTACCAACGACAATATTGAGTCCAATATGTCAAGCTTCTCGCTTGAGATGAGAGAGATGGCTTTCATCCTTAGGTACGTAGTGTTGACGCAGGAGGTTCCAGTACTGACGTGCCCAAGCAATGTCACCCACAAGAGCATCGTCATCATAGATGAACTAGGTCGAGCCACAAGCACTCGAGATGGACTTGCTATTGCGATCGCCATAGCCGAAGCCCTTATACAGAGCCGTGCCATTGTGTGGTTTGCAACTCACTTCACAGAGCTTGGTAGGTCCCCTGGCACAATCCCTTGACTTCGTTACAGGTGGACCTGGTCGGGAGCTAACTCAATATGCCTTAGCCGACGTCCTAGCCGATCGTCCCGGAGTGCTGAATCTTCGTCTCGTCACGCAGGTTTCGACGACGGACAATAACGTACCCAAGTTAACTATGATGTACAAGGTTGAGTCGGGAAAGACTGAGGAGTTGCTCTATGGCATCACACTTGCGAAGGCAATGGCATTTCCCAAACGGTTCCTGGAAGTTGCCGAGGAAGTTGCTATATCACTGCATCAACGAAGGGAACAGAATAAGCAGTCTTCTCAAGCGAGGAAGATGCTCAACCGACGCAAGCTGATACTTAATCTTCACGAACAGCTCAAACAGGTGAAAAGTTCAGCAATGGATGATTCATCGATGAGAAGCTACTTGATACGTCTCCGAGAGGAGTTCGTCTTGCGTATGGAGGCCATCGAGAACGGCGGCAATCAAAGCAGTAGCAACGCTAGTGAGGCTCTCGGAGACGGGATGGACGGGGAGGATAAGGAGTTCGAGGACGAAGACGTCTTCGACACTGTTGATGCCGAGTCACTTTGGAGCAGCTGAGTGGAATACTTGAGGAAAAGCGATCTGAAGATGACTTTCAAAACAACATGGTTCTTTCGTTGCTAGGTTGTGTTATAGGTATGGGTCGGCCACCTACTTGGCTGTTGTTCATGAGATGGACGTGTATCGTAGTTCGCTTCTTCTCATAGGAACACACAAGATAAGGCGAGAGGTCTGGTTCGCTCAGTGATTAGAAACGGTGTCTCCTAGCAGCTTGAGCTTCTGACATGTCTGTCCAAGACTGCGTACACAGAGCCATGAGGACAACTAGTCTTGTATTGGTCTTCAAATGGATGGTAGGAGCTTCTTGTGCATAGAAGCAGCAAGGTGCATCATCCCAGTGCTCTTGGATTGATGCCATTCGCAATTTGGTACGTGTTGAGTCTGGCTTGGAAAGGGCAAGAAGCACCCACCGCTCCTTCCCTCCAGGGGATAGGGAGTTTACCGATCGAACGGAAGGCACCAACCACCCTCGGACCTTGCATCTTTCCCTCATCGCAACCTCCACGGTCGGTACCTCCCCATCCACCCACCTTGCCGCGTCTATCCTGTACAACGGTTTTCTTTCATCGATCGACTTCCCACTCTGCCTTGAGGCCTTGTCTTTTACATCCAATTCATTCCTCACCTCTGGACTCGAATATCTTGTGCATTGTACCACGCCCCAGCGGCCTTTTGCGCGCTATGAAGAGCCCGCCTTGTGAGTATGGCGAAGAAGCCATGGAGGAGTTCGACCTACCATCGTGAGTTCCCCCAAGGGTCTATTTATCTTCACCTTGCTGACGTCCCATAGCCTCTGGGAGACGAAGAACGACGCCGACATTCTTCTTACAATGGGTGCCAGCAAATGGGAACTTCATGACAAGGCGGTACGCGGAAAGAGCGGCTTGATCGACCACATCCTAGAGATGGTTCAGATGGTAAGCTCCTCATGCAGCGTATCGTCTCGCGAGGTCTCGCATGGCCTTCAAAGTGGCTTTGACTACTAACGGCCGTTTCCAGAAAGAAGGAATAAGAAAGATTCCACTGAAGGAGCGCATGTTCCCTCATTCAGCTCTGAACACAGTGTTGAAGTACTTCTACTTTGGAGGTGGGTGATTTCTTCGGCCTTGAGAAGGCGGAGTGTGCTGACCATTAGCAGAAAGCCTGATCACGGAAAAGACTGAAGTGATAGACCTCCTCTCCTTGTACGAGGTGTCCGCGACACTCGGCATTCTCCCGTTGCAAGAGAGGATTGCTTTCCAGGCAGGCTACTTGCTTGGCGAGATCCTCTCCAGTGGCACTGACAGAATGGGAGATTTCTACATCGTCATCGAGGTCATCATTGAGGAGCAGGACGACTTGTGGGTTTTCATGCACGAGGAGATGCAGCGAGCACTTAGCCCCTATCTCCTCAAGCTTCTTCAACAGGACACCTTCGTGGACCTCATCAAACAGAACCCGGCATTCTGTTTGGAGATTCTTTCCACCGCTGTTGATCGCATCGAGATACTCGAAGACGCTACAAAGGAGGTGACTAGTGTGAAGGGCGCGAGTGACGTCGGCACTCAAGCTGTGATCGAACATGGCAGTGGTATTCCGAGACGTTATGGTAGGTACTTGGTTGTCGAGTATCGGCTCCGCCTTCACTGACACAAAGAAGTCGAAGCAGGAACACAAGCAGACATTCCGCTGCCGCACACCCCGAAAACCATCCCTTCGGCTACAGGTAACGATGACCAGCACCCATGCTCCGACGATGAGACGATTCCTCGGCCCAGAAAGCGCGTATCCATGGTAAATTTGGGCACGGAGTTCATCAGTCGACCGGATGATGCTAAACACTCTTCGCAGTCTATCCCTGGACCGGCGAACAAGTCTAGAACGGCGGAGAATCCCAATCCCACCTCCAAAGATGCCAGAGGTAAGTCCTTTTCCAGCCATTCGGCGAGTTCTGGATCCATTTTCGAAACACTTCGGGATCCTTTTCACACGTTTCACAGGCTGATTGTGCGATAGTGAGCCAAATTCCGCAAGACTTCAAGTTCGACTTTCAGGCAAAGAGCCCCGAGGTCAAGAGTATCTCAACAGGTATCAACCAGAGCCAGGTATGCAGTCTTTCGGCGACGCCGAAAGTGGTCACTGGAAACGGGGCTGTTCCGAATGTTCGCCCTCAATCATCATCATCATCACATGCATCTACTCACTGGGAGTCTTGCAGCGAGGGTGGTGAGAGAGCCGTCCCGGTCACCGAGATGAGCAAATCAATCGCTACGTCTGCCTCTGTCGAGCTTTCATCGCACATTGGTGTAGCGCCAGAGTCTCAATCCAAAGATGAGAAGGCACAAGTTGGCTCCGGAACCAAGAAAGACACGATTTTGGGGAATTTATCGTTGAATTTCTCTAGCCATATTCAGGGGGTATGCCTACCAATTTCGCTGCCCGAAGACTCCGGTGCCCGTCAGCCCGAGCAGACTGCAGTTCCAGCCAGTTATGAGCGGTCAAGTCGCTCATACGCTTTCAAACGCGACAGCCTCCCTCGAGGCTTTCAGTTCTTCCAGTCCTCTAGTGGACCGCAGCCAGGGCAATGCGATGTCTCTACTTGCAAGGCTGCTTCTAGTCACTCTCAGGAAAATAAGACAGCTGTTACGGGAGTCGTCGAAAGACAGCGAAGAGAATACGTGTTGCGCGGGTCTGAAGTCACACAGACCGAGGGGACATCTGCTCCCGCCATTCCGGAGCGGCCAAGTCGCCCGTACGGCTTCCATAGCGCAGACCTACCACGAAGCTTCAAATTCTCTGAGGGGGCCCAAGGAGAGCACTCCAAAGAGCCGAGTGTCAAAGCATCAGGCAGTAAGACACCTAACACCAAAGCCTCCACCAGCTGCGCTCAGCAGAGTACCTCTTCGTCTTCCCACACCAGAGTGAAGCCGAGCCCTTGGAAAGCCGACAAGGCAACGGCGAAGCAAATGAGAAAAGGACGGCTGATAGTCGAGCCTCCTGGTGAGTTGCCAAAGCCGTTCAACTTTTGGTGGTGCGGGGTTCTGCCTTGCCACTGGCTGCTCTGTTATCCAAAGGCCTTCTTCTCACCATCACCACAGAAATCTCCTCCAGCTCACGAACAAACTTCAACCTCGAAGGGGACAACTTGGAGGAATGCTGCAAACCTTCTTGAAGTTGACAGATCTCCCGAAGTTCATCAGGGAACTCAGTGACGCAGCATCATGCGAGTTTTTGGCCGGGATTCAGTATCCAAAGATACTGTATGAGTACTGGATGAGCGACAGGAATGTTAGGAGAGGATGCATTCGAGGACAGAGGCATCCAACACGTGTTTATCGGTACAAGGTATGGAGATCCCTACAGAACATCGCAGAGTATGACTGACATCACCTCAGTGCTGAAGGTTTCCACCCAAGAAACAAACCCTTGTGGATCATGTATCCCTGACCATGATGGTCTGAAGGTATTGGAGTCTCAGAGGGGATGATGATGGAAGAAGCAAGTGAATGTAGTAGCGGCCATCACGGAAGGCATGGCATGATACAGACTTCCCAATGTCAGGGTAGCCTCGTAGATAGATCAAGGCCAAGAAGACCGAATGCAATTTACTGCCTACAATTGGGCCTTCTCCGTCCGGTTGCCCTGCTCGTCAAACCAGATCTTGGTTCCCTTGATCATTGACTCCTGCAATGCCGCACCGATCTTGACAGCAGCCACTGCTGAAGTCAACTTGATCGGCACAGGCTTATCCTCCAACACACTCTCGGTAAACTCAATCGCCTCGGTCGTGAAAGCAGCCCTGAACCGATCCCAGTACGTTTGCGGCAGCTCTTGCCGGATGCCTCCCGGTGTGTAAATCTTTACATGGTTCTCCGCCGGCAACAGGTTGACGGACAACTTGCCCTTGGTACCAATAATCTCCGTTGAATCCTCCTGGCCCGCGGCCATCATGCGCGAAGCATACAGATACGCGATGCGCCCATCGTAAAACTCGACCGTGCCAACAGCGTTGTCGCGATCGTTGTGCTTCCGCAAGTCCGGTTCGACGGCTGTGATGCCCACGGCGTGGACGGACTTGACCTTGGTGGTCTCCTCGTCAAAAAACCAGAGCGCGAGGTCAATGTCGTGGATACTGCAGTCGACAAAGATGCCGCCCGAGAACTGGGCGTAGGCGACGAAGAAGCCTGAGGGGTCGAGGACGTCGCAGGTCTGGCTGCGGAGGATGGCGGGGCGGCCGATGAGGCCTTGTTGCATCTTTGCGTGGGCGTCGCGGTAGGAGGCGTCGAAGCGGCGGGAGAAACCGCACATTACTTTGAGATCTGGGCGTTTTGCGGCTGTGTCGACGACGGTTTGTGACTGTGGCCGTGTTGTTAGTTCCCTCTCGCCGCACATGTTCAGGTGGGAAGGACAAGACACTTACAACTTCAACAGTAGTGCCCAATGGCTTCTCGCACAAGACGTGCTTGCCCTTCTCAATGGCCTTGTTGGCCTGCTCGGCGTGGACAGAGGTCGCGGACGCCACGCAGATGGCCTCTAGGCCTTTGTGGGCGAGCATGTCGTCGTAGGACTCGTAGACGGTGACGCCGTGGGGGGCGAGGTTCTCGGCGGCCCATTGGCGCTCACTAGCGTCGGGGGAGCTGACGGCCACGAGAGTCGCGCGGGGCACGTTTTGGTGAAAGTTGAGAGCGTGGCGCTTGCCCATGCGGCCGAGGCCTGCGACGCCTACTGAGAGCTTCTTGGTTGACATTTTGCTTTCTTTGCGGTTCTGGTGACGTTTCGTGTGGTGATTACTGAGGTGGTCGTAGTGTAGTCCGGTGTTCAGGGTTTGACTTGTGATCGTGAGGAGGGTGGATTGCGGTCTATGTCTATGTCTATCTTCTCTGGTGCGCAAATCGAACGGGAGCTTGACGGTCGTAAGGGTACTAAAGATGAAAGAATCTACGAATAATGGCGGTGACGAGGACCGGTGGGATGCTTCTCCTCTCTAGTCTAAGACCATTGGCGCAAATGTACGACCTGGGAGGAGTCGAAAGGTACCGAGGACGGCTTAACATAGCTCTACAAACAATCAGGGACCTCTGGTGTCTTATATTTCACAGCCTTTCATACGGAACCTCACCGTCCTCGGAGCTCTATCGGAAACCATTTCCCGACACGAATAAAGAGCTCCATCGCGGGGCACCTCTGACGCCGTTGAGGGGACCATCTCATGCCAATTGACCAGTGGGAAAGTGGAAGCGCATGTCGGAATCCCACAAAAGCGCGCTCAGGAGTCAAGACGCGTCGAGGAGCCCACGTGAACTTGCAGCAATGCTGAGCTGTAAGAAAGCTTTGAGGCATCTCGAAACTTGGCTTGCAACCGGTGTAAGACAGCCCACTTTCCCCTTTTTGCGAATGAGGCAGGTGGGGGGTTAGAAATGAACAAAAAAGAGCTTCGCATTGGTTGCTCAGCTTATCGGGGCAAGTTTCCCCGAATCTCGAATTGGCGTCTGCGGTAATTTTGTCCGGTCTTTATGTCTTACGGGCAGATTACGTGAACGAGACCAAGCTCTGCGTATAAGCTCGCCACCACACGACTAAGTATGGTACACTACGAATATACCCCAATATCCCAAAGCTAAAGAAGAAACTAAGAAAAACTTGTTGGGTTTGTTTAGGAACCTGGGGTAGCCGACAAGTGTGCGTTCCAGAACTGGTCATGCCCTGCATGTGTCACAATCTTAGAGGTAACATGTATTAACCCGCATTACGGATACGGGGTAATGTCCGTGTTCAATGAGTCTATCTGATCCTCCGCATTACCTAGATCCGCTTTGTCGGGATCACCAAATTCCATCCCCGTACTTCACCCCCTCCCTTTTCCCTATCCTTGGTGCCGGTTTCCTGGGGTACGGGGTAACAAGGGGGATCAGATGACTGGAAATGAAGTCGTTTAGTCCTGTCTGTACGTGCCCTTATCCCCATGTTTGTTACGGAATCGTCTCCGTGATTATTGGCCGTCCATAATAAGACATGTAGGCACACCTACGGGCAATTTTCGGAATCCTAATCCCGAACTTTTCATGTAACGTGCTGTGACTAAAGACACAAAAAACATCAACGTGGTATTACTGCAAGGTACAGTAGGCAATTATGTTCAGTACTCAAAGACATATTCAGTCATGAATCGTCCTCCCACCCCCACGCCCTCTTCAAGTGTGACTGTGCCGAAGCAGTGGGCCACATGTGCTCAACATCCGTCTTGACTAAAATATCCAATAGTGCTTTTTGCTCGGCATATTCGACGAACCTGTCCCCGCACGCCGTGACACCCATACAGGCCGTGAACATGGCTGGTATCGTCTGCTTGTTTGATAGCGCGGCGCCACATAGTTCTCGGACTTGCATACGAATGTCGTTCTTAAGTTTCCCATGTTAGCTAGATCTCAGGTCGAGATTGGTAGAATGATTGGAGCCGCTTACATCTAGCTTTTTTCGAGCTCGGATTCGACTAGGTCCTATCTTGGGAATGCTCTCGTCGTGGCACATCAAGAGCGCTCGTGCTAACGCCCCATGCACATTTCCGATTACTGGCCTATGTTAGTGGGCTCGTTCACTATGTCGCCACGAGCAAAAACTGGAAAATAAGTCCTAGCTTCAGGGAAGGGAGAAAACTAACCGACTGCATGATTAATGTAAAAGATTTGCGGAAACACCAAGCCTGAAGCAAGGTCCGGCTCAGAGTACGCGATAGGCAGCCAAGAAAGCGGCCTCGCGCGTAGCCAGTTATAGTCATACTCAACCAGCCGCTGATACTCGCTCTTGCGGTTCTCCACCTCGCCAAAACAGAACTGCACCACCTCGGCGCAGTGCACGACGATGCGATTCGCCCAGCAATCGTCATCAGTCGGCGAAAAGGACCGGTCAATGAAGAGGTGGTCGAGCTTGACCTTGATCGGCCGCTGCGTCGCAAACGCCATGGTAATTTCCTGCCGGAGGCCTACCCAGAACGAAGCCTGTCGGAGGGAGCTCGGCGGGTCGAGGGCGGATGCGTTTTGCGTGTTCATGAAGAGCTGGATGCCGAGAAGATGGCCCTCGTGGTCTGTTCCGATGAGCGGGACATCGAGCTCTTCAAGGGTGCGGAGGAGGATTGTCGCCGCGAGGAGGTCATCGTTCGTAAGGGCCGACGAGTCGTTTGAGATGGTAGTGAGGTGTTTGAGGCATTCTTGATGGTAGCGGTCCGAGGCGTAGGGGTCATACTGTTCATGGAGGCTGAGGTGGCGGGAGGAGAGGGCGAAGATTGCGTTGAGGAGGGTTGGACATGTTGTTGCTCTTCGGGGAACGACGATTGCAAAGTGCCGTCTTGCGTCGCATAGATCGAACTGAAAAGGGGGTTAGAACAGCCGTGGAGTTGCCAGATCATACTCCCTCCGAAGGTAAAAAGCGTATGACCACTCACCCAGGTGCACATGTACTCTAGATAGTACTTCATCAACCTCACCTCATGAGGCTGCGTAAAAGGAAACACGACATCGTCATGATGCTCAAAGTTGGCCAACCCGAGAGTTGACCCGGATGGAATAGCGCTGTAAACAGATGGCAAAGTTGTTGGTGTCTGCACCTGCACCTCTCTCCAACTCGCAGCCGGCGTAGAGGCGGGTTGGCTGTGAGGACTCGGGACTAGAAGCCGGGCATCACGATGATCTCGGCTATGCGAGTCGATGATGAGAGCCGGGGATGCGGATGCGGCGTCATCGGGTTGCCGTTGTTCTCGGCGTCGTTGTTGTTCTAGATCCACTAACAGCGCGGATGATGATAATGATGAACCAGGATCAGGATGTGTCGCTGGCAGTGGTACCCGCCGACCCTCCGCCGGTGCAAGCTGCGGCTGTAGTGCTGCCGGTGGATGGAGTTGCAGTTGCGCTTGTGGTTGCGGCGGCGGGCTGCCGTGTTCAGACCAATAAAGAGCCTCAAGTTCCTGGGTTTCATCGACAAAGTGTACTATGTGACCGAGTTAGGCAATTTTGACAGGAAATAAACGATGTCGGGATAAGCTTCGTTCCAAGATGATTCCAAACAAGGCATTTCTCGCCGTTTTTGCTCGTAGATCTCCTCCTCATTTTCCCCAACTTCTCCAACTTGCAAGGTCTTGGAGGTGGGACTGGTAAACTTACATCGCCGCGGATAGGGCACCCACGTCTGCTCCGTAGCGCTCGGCGTCCTAAATCAGCGAGACAAAACCCATAGTAAGCGATCAGCGTTCCCGCAAAAAAAGCAGTACAATATGGCGCATTACGGAGTCTAGAGTTGCAGATTCGTTCCCGTGACGAAAACGAAATGGGGGTACAACGTATTGTAGTGGTAAACGGGGCGGGCGAGACCATTATCTCGGTTCCGCTTTGCGCAAATCTTGACTCTTGCTTCACCAATGTCGCAACTCGCACATTGTGTAGGATAATTCGCAATTGAGCGGGGAGCGACTGGGGTGCCACAGAGCCAAGTACAAGTTTGCCAGAGTTGATGATAGGGAATGAGAGGAATTTGGCCGTCACTTACTCAGTGGCATGCTTGAATCGAATTGCGGGGGCCGGAATACAGTCCTTGCCAGTTGCTCTGCATCGAATACATGATTTCAAGTAGACGTCGGGCCGAGCAGAAGACGGAGACGCATCGTCATCTGTGCTCCACGCGCATTTGAGATGTTGCTTTTTGCAAGTCTATTGTTCATGTTTATTAGCTTTGGAGTTGAGTATGTCCGCCAACGTAGGTACGGTGGGAGTCGGAATGGGATGCAAAGTCCGACCGGCAGGCAGTCCAGTTTGGTCATCTCATCCCACAGATTCCACATCGCCAACCCCAGATATCTCAGTCAGCAGCAATTCCACAACTTCTGATTGCTTAGGCGAAATCCGGGGTAGAACACGGATCACGGAGGGTCGGGCGTGGGCGACAAACTCTGGGGAAATGGGGTGAAGAGCCAAAGCGAATAGGGCCGACTTACCAGACATGTCGTCGACATGATTTGACTCCCACCTCTTTCAGTCTCTTTTCGTCCTGCCTTGTCGCAGTTTCGTGAAATTGAGACGATCACGACGATGTAGGGAAGTTGGGGGATAAAAGCATTTCCTCCTTGGTGAAATCAGGAAATCTATGCATCGGGGCAAGCTGCTTGTTAGTGTAAAAGAGGAAGAAAGCTCCTAGTCTCTCACCCTAGGCCCTACAGCCGTCGGTGAGGCTCCTTCGGTTCAAATTTCCACGCCAACCATGTCCTGGCCTCCTCCTCCTAGCCTATGACGAAAGTGTTAATGCAGGTTGGAAATGGCCCCTGACTCGTGTTGGGGAGAGGCCACCCCCTGGTCGGCCAGCCCCCATCCAAATCCATGGAGGCTCGGCACTGCAAATCCACGGCCAGATTCCGGAGTATTCTGGTATTTCGAGACATAGCGTACAGAAACCCCACCTAACCCGTCAATTCCCCACGGGCAACTCATGTGCGAGAATCTTCTGACAGACGGCCCCTGTACTGCGTGGAAACCGCGTTCTTATCAGCTTGGAATTGCCAGAAGCACGCAGAAGACTCTAATCATGTGCAGCCAGTATCTTGTCCTCTTCGACGTCCTTCTATAGTCCCACCCAGGCACTCCGTGGTCGATGGTCGAACGGTGCCTGGAAGGGCGCACATCGTCTGTTGAGTTTTGTCATCGAACTTGATCTCGAACGCGTCTTCAATTCTTCGCAAACACCCCCAAAACTCCAACTGCCAAGTTCTCCAAATACCGTGGGGCTGACGAGGGCGGGCATAACCCCGGCCGTATTCTGTCTCTCGCTGGTTCGTCGTCAGTGCCTGAATTCGTCCTCTCTGCCGGACGGATGGCCGAGGGGTGCCCCATGCTGTCCGTGTCTGTCTCTCTTCTTCCCACCCCCGTATTTGGTGTAGCGTGAGTCGTGATTGGCGTCTCCGCGCAAGGAACGCTGGAAGCCTGACACGGTTTCCCCAATATCCCCAGAAAACCCATCTTTGAAGCACACCCCGCGATTTAGCGGCTCCTCCACGTCCATTCTTGACCAACTAGCATCCGGCCATTGGTCGTGGTACTCGTGGCGGCTATTGTGCACAAGCGTATCCGTAGCGTTCCTCTTCCCCATCCCGTCCTGTCCTCTCCCCCCCGGTGCCCACCCTCGTCACTCATCAAGGCTCGGCGTAAACAAGTATCTACGGCTTTCCAAAGATGTGGATCCCCCCAACCGTGCCCCCTAGGCCGTCAATGAATCTACTTGACGGGCGTAGTCGGGATGGCTTGGCCATGGGCCAGGCGGTGGCCCCGAAAGTCTCAGAGTTCTATAAAGACGACGTTGCGTGCCATGCTTGACGTTGATCTCGACTCCCTCTCCTGCGACTCAGGCGGGTTCGACCAAAGCTTCTTCCTTCTTCTTCAGAGATACCCCTCCCGATTTCTTCTATTCCAGTTTCATCAGACTGAACCGGTCTGTCGGATTCGTGTAACCTAAACCTCGTCCCTGGCTCATCCAGTGCAACTCCAGAACCTCAACCTCACGGCTCAGTCCGAGTGAGTTCATCCCAAGGACCCCTATACACCAGCTTAGTCACAAACCTGTTTCACTACACCACATCCATACAGCGAATTATGAAAACTTTGTCGAACTCCCCTCATACTGACGTTTCCACAATAACAGCTCAAAGATGGGTGCACGATCAACCTCCGCCTCCGAGGTGGAGAAGTCCTCAACCAACTACCCAGGCGTCTCTACCGAGCAACAAGAGACCGTCCTCTCCGATGCCTCCCTCGAGCCATACGGACCCTCTGGCTTCAGGGGAATCTTCGCATCCCACTATGTAGCTCTCTGCGCTGCCTTCTCGGCAATCGGTGGTCTCCTCTTCGGTTACGATCAGGGTGTTATTTCAGTTACCCTGGTCATGGACCAGTTCCTCGAGCGTTTCCCAGAGGTATCTGACCACGCTGCTGGCTCTGGCTTCAAGAAGGGTCTCATGACTGCCATGATCACTTTGGGTGCCTTTATTGGTGCCATGAACCAGGGTTGGCTTGCCGACATGATCTCCCGAAAGCGATCCATTATGGTTGCTGTTGTCATCTTCACCATTGGCTCCTCTATCCAGGCTGCGGCTGTCAACTACGATATGCTCGTTGGAGGTCGTTTCATCGGAGGTTTGGGCATCGGCATGTAAGTTTTGTCAATTTCCCCTTTCGGAACATATCGAATACTGACAATTCTAGGCTTTCCATGGTCGTCCCCCTCTACATCTCCGAAATCTCACCTCCCGAAATCCGCGGTTCTCTCCTCGTGTTCGAGCAACTTTCCATCGTCTTCGGCATTGTCGTAGCCTTCTGGATCACCTACGGCACCAAGGACATTCCCAACCACTGGTCCTGGCAGCTTCCCTTCCTCATTCAGATTCTCCCTGGTCTCTTGCTCGGATTCGGCGCCGTCTTCCTTCCCTACTCCCCTCGCTGGCTGGCATCCAAGGGCCGCGAAGAAGAGGCCCTCTTCAACCTGGCCAAGCTCCGCGTTCTTCCCGATACCGACCCGCGCGTTCGCCGTGAATGGATGGAAATCGTCTCCGAGGCTCGCTTCCAGTCCTCGATTCTCGCTGAACGCCACCCTACACTCGTTGGAGGCGGTAGCATTGCCAGCACTATCAAGCTCGAGTTTGTTGCTTGGGGAGATTGCTTCAAGAAGGGATGTTTGAGACGTACGCACGTTGGTGCTGGTCTCATGTTCTTCCAGCAGTAAGTTCATGTTACAGTGACAAAGAGTCGATGTTTGAAGGTTTGACTAATATTTCGATAGATTTGTCGGAATTAACGCCTTGATTTACTACTCACCAACTCTGTTTGCGACGATGGGACTCGACCACAACATGCAGCTGATCATGTCCGGAGTTCTTAACTGTGTTCAGCTGGTCGGTGTTATCCCCAGTCTGTGGACCATGGATCGGTTCGGACGTAGATCGCTGCTGTTGACGGGTGCCGTGGGCATGACGATCTCGCAGGCCGTCATCGCTATTCTTGTCGGGCTGTACTCGAACGACTGGCCCAGCCATACTACTCAGGGATGGGTCAGTGTGGCTTTCTTGCTGATGTACATGTTTGTCTTTGGCGCAACATGGGGACCTGTGCCCTGGGCTTTGCCTTCCGAGGTGTTCCCTTCATCGCTCAGAGCCAAGGGCGTTGCCATTTCTACTTGCTCCAGTAAGTTGATAACGGCCTCTTGCCATTCAGTCCTATTTCAATTGCTGACACTTATGTTCCAGACTGGATCAACAACTTCATCATCGGTCTCGTTACTCCTCCCCTGGTCCAGGGCACCGGTTTCGGCGCATACGTCTTCTTCGCTGCTTTCTGCCTCCTGGCCTTCGTTTGGGTTTGGTTCTGTGTGCCGGAGACGAACGGAAAGACTCTTGAGCAGATGGACGAGGTGTTTGGTGACCGTACTGGACTTGACGACGTGGCGAAGAAGAACCAGATCTTCCGGGAGGTTGTGGATGAGCAGACCCATGCCACGGTTACTCTGTCAGCTTAGATACTTCTGAGTGATATAGAGAGGAAGCAAATGATACTGAATGTAGCAATCATTGGTACTACTTTTGGTACTCAAGAGACTACTCACAATACGATGATGTTAAGATCTACCCACGGCTTCTTCGTGTGAAGTATGAAGTTTACGTCAGCGTAAAGAATGGAGAATATGGTTACCTATGTGTGATAGAGCAGGTATCCCCTTTTAGAATATTCGTTCCATTAGTAAGTGAGTATCCCATCGAGTGCTACAAGGCGATAGTATATCTGAGTGCGGGGGAAGAACTAATCAGGCGTTATTCCGATTTATTTTCACTATATCCGCAAATCAAAAAATTTATATCTTAGAGAATTTAGAGAAAAGCTGGAGACCATTGTACTGTCGCCTTGTAGTACTCGATAGGATACCACGGTCTTCCGGCTTCTTGAAACATACGCAAGATGGTGCCCCGCTAACCTGGAAAATCAGGCAAGGTTGGCAAGTACTGAACTTCACCTGGGTGTCCTTACCATTTACCTTGGGATGAAAGGTGCCTCCTTGTTGTTTATGCCCCTCCGTGCGCCGCCAAACTCCCGCAATCCTTCCGAAGTCATAGTGGTGATGGCCTAAAGGTATGATTTTCGTTGTGAGGGCTACTGTTCGAACCGGTGTTCCGTCACAGTTCGGCTCCATTCCTTCTGATCAAGGAACAATGCTTCCTTGCTCTCAATAACTTGATATCTTAGATGTCTCATCTGTAGTGTGACCAAACATTGAGATGGTCAGGCTAATTCTCAATGGATTTCTCAAATGAAACAGATAGAACGATAGTTGGGTATGTTGGCTTGCTTTAAAACTATAATACAGAGAAGTTTTGATATTGTACAAATGTGCCTTCTGCCTGATATATCGGACCTGCCGTAGTGACAGCGCTGGGGACAATGTCATAAGTCAGTGGCTCATCTGCTCCTCTTCCTCCGAACCCTTCCACGCCACTCCAGTTGCTCCGCTCTACGGTAGAGGTTGCCCCTTGTTGGGATATTGGTGAAGTGAGCTGGGATGAAGTTGGGGGGCCAAGCATCGGTGTGCTATGGGTAATGATTTGCCTCGGTGTCCCGTCCTGAAACCCCGGCCAAGCTGGCAATGGCCTCTGAGAGACGGGTGCGTTTGTTGCGAATGAGTATGTTTGCGTCATGGGAGTACTATCTGAGTAGGACCGTGAATGACCTTGGGTCGATCCCATTCGCTGCCCCATACTGGTGCTTGTCGCCATGACAGGTATCTTGACGCCGGCGTGGCTCGGGTTCGGGCCCCACGGTCCCGGTGGTATTCCTCCTATCTTTCTGGGACCACTATCGGAGGTTTCTGGCGGATATGACTGTGAGAGTATGCTCGATGGCAATGGACCGAAATGGAAGCCTTGGATTCGCTGGCGTACTTCGACAGGGTATCTGTTGAAGAACTTGTTCGTTTGCGAGGGGA